TTGGTGGACTATTACCTTGTTTGCTGATTAAAAATGCATGTATACACTCAGCTCCATCTGGTGTGCTTGCCAGTAGTAGAACAACCCATTAATGACATGAATCCTGCAAGGGGGTGAAATAACCCACCAATCCTGAATGTTTTAAGAATGGTAATCACCATTCATCCAGCCACACTATATCACAGGAAGAAAATAATTTAATGTACAGTACTGTACAAGCAAAACAGTCTTTAGAGAAGGGTTAGCCCATAATAGTCCTTGCACTTTGTAGGTAACCATAAACATTTCTATGTTTAAGGTAAATTTCAATGTCATCACTCACAATAAAACACAGTTAATTCTGAACTGACTTTTATTTTAAATATGGAATTAAATACAGCTAACTATTCTAAGGAGTATAAGTGTGTAATATGCTCTACTCTTAATCTAAATACTGTACCTCTTTTGCATTTTCCTGCTTAGTACATTGTGGGCTGAAACATACACTAATAGTGTGAAAGATTTGTTCTGCTGTAGTTTACCCCCGTCTCTTCATACGAGCCAGCATCTCATACTGCCCCAAAGATCCCTCAATACTTCGTTCTCCACACACACTGTTGCACATGATAAATATTTTAATACTTTTGTTCAAAAGCATTTGTTGCGCTGGCAGTAAATTTTTGAATGATTAGTGCAGTACAATAGTATGAAAACAATATCACAGTTAAAACAATCATAAAGTAACATGTTGTAAAGTACAGTACACTTACAGTGAATTTCATCTACAACTACAAATTAGTAAAAATAATGTGCTTCATTTATCAGTAATATTAGCTAATTCATCTAGGAAATGTCTTCAGTATATTATATGAAGCACTTTTGGCAATATTTAGTGTTATCTACTTGGCATAATTGAGTTCAGGGAAACTGAAATTTTATATGTATTTACAGTTCCGTTGAATTTTTTTTTTCAGTATTATAGATATTTTGTTCATATTATTTTGACACAATTCAAAATGGAAAGTACTGTTGTTATAAATTTGTCACTTATTTGACTGACAAGTAAATGCCAAATTTTGCCAATTGTCAAAGAAAGTATTCCCATGATATTGCACAGGTACAAGTATACACAGAAGACATAAATATGCCCTTACAATACAGTACTATCTATTCCAAAGCCATCTATGATCAGCCATGATGCTATTTTAAATTGGCTTTTTGTCCAACAGAGTAATGTACTGTAGTTAAATCATGTACACTTACACTCCATGTTGACATATCGATGCTTCTAATAAATATTCCACGAAATAAAATTGGTTGACAAATTGCACTTTACACTTGTACTAACTACTCAATATTGGTATAAATGGAATTCATCCTTTAGTAGATACACACTTGTTATTTCCAGAAATTTCATTACAGAAATAAAGAATTCAAGATGGCCACTATCATTTTAATTCAATTACAGTATAGTAAAGGTTTATGAAAATAAATTTAAAATTTTTGTTTACCTAAAGACCTAAGTTGATAAGTTACACCAAATCATTTGAACTGTGAAGTATAAATAAGATTTAGATTAATAGTGATGGAAGGTAGACAGGTAAATGATAATGGACAAGTACAGTAACAGAACATGAAATGAATAAATTACCTCCATACTAGTAACACAGTATTATAAGAATTGGTAATAAGTAATTCCTTACACACTTACAAACATTATCTTAATACAGGAATACCTCGCTACTCACAATTAATATTTTAACACCCCTATTCGATATTCGCAAAGCATTCCCCAATTATCCGCAAAGAATATTTACAATATGCTACAGTAATATTTCAAACCGCGTGGGCTAGCTGCAGCTTTCATATCCCGCTGTCAGAAATAGTGTGTGGTAGTTCAAGCTGCGCGAGCACTCTGCGCAGTGACGTGTTTTTGTTGTGTGCTCATATGCCGGGCAAAGTGAGCATCTGTTTTGATTTGTTGCATTGTGTAGTAGCTCACTGTATTACAAGAATTATTCATAATGCCTCCCAAGTGCCCTTGCTCTGCTGCCTCATCTGCAAAGAGGCCTTATGTGTCTGTAAGTAGCCTGTGACCTTGCACACACACACTGTACTTTCATATTGTTTTTATGGTATTGTAGTTATTTTATTGCATTATATTGAGTATATGTATATTGAAAAATGTGGTGAAAGTTGCTGGCTAGGAATTCATTAATTTTTGTGGGGAAAATTGCCCTGATATTCGCAATGACTTTTAGGAACTCATCCTTTGCTATAACAAGGGTACTTCTGCACAGTAATCAGAGAAATGTAAACAAAGTACAGCCATTGCGAGCAAGTTGGTCCTTTACATATGCATATTCATCATTGTCATCACATATGAACCACATAAATAATAACCAATATGCTTTATTGTACAGGTATACAATACTGTACACTTAACATCGAAGTACAGCATAAGGATACAAAAGATAAGTACCCTGAGTTAAGATAATTAATTGTTGAAATAATAATTATCAGAGCACGAAACTGGGAAAAAACCTTACTACGTACTGTTCTCTTATGTAACCATCTAATGTCCACATGTAACCCTTTATAGGGCAGGGGTACCCTTGAGTCAATAAAATTGTCTGGCATTAGCCAGAATAATATACGTATGGGTAAAGCTATTGATGTGTGATGAAGGAGTCCAAAGTTCATTTAAGGGCATATGATGAACTTCACACAACTGAAGAGGCATATTTGGTTCATTAGTATGCTTAATTGTTCCAAACATAAATTATAGAAAAACATCTGAAGAAGCACGGGCCTCAAGCTTGGAAGTGCCCTAAAGCCCTCTTGTTAAAAATGGTCATAGAAATTCATCAGCATATTATAGTGAAGTAAATATTGTATGCAGATGACAGGAGTTGATAAGAATTAGAGAGAACACAAATGAAGTAATATGATGTCTAGAAAAAAAATGGACTGTAAATAAAGTTGGAGAAGACAAGTGATGTGTGTGGGGGAGAATTATTCTGATTTGCAAAAAGTCAGAGAAGAAGTGGACTCAAAAGATGGAGCTATGGAACTAGAAGGAACACAAAAAGAAGCTTGAGGTATTTGAGAGGAAACTGGGATTAAGAAACGTTTAAAAGAATTATTCAAAAACAGGTCGAGGCGGTAAAACATAAAAAGAATGGAAGGCAAGAAGCTAGCATCAAAAGTATAAAAGATGGAGGATTTTGGGAGAAATAAACAAAGATCAAGGTGGATAGACACACTAACAGATTTTGAAAAAGTAAAAGATGACAATAGCAGAGGAACTGCCATGACTGAGGAGGACTGTGAAGAGATAACAGTGCAGCCTGTTATACATCCCACCCTGAAAGGGGAAGATGATTGTTCTTAGCTCAAACTTAATTGTGAGATCTGCACTTTGTAAACAAAAGTATAAATTATCTCAGCATGTTGACAATATTCCACACATTTAAACTTAAAACATGTCTAATAGATCTAATGCCTACACTAAATAACTAATGTCAATATACACACTAACTTAATACCTGACCACAACCTAAAAAGTGTTTATTTGCAAAAATATTGTATGAGGTCTGATCATAAAATTCTGTGATTGAATTTATTAGGTCAAGTGTACAATGGTTTCATTTCACAAGGGCGGATGGCCTACCAGTATATAGTGATTTATTTGGACATTCTGAAATGCCGAAGAGATGTACTGTAGTTTGATGCAAATGAGCTGAAAATTGGGGCATCAGGTTTGTAGGCATTGAATCACGACAGTGTACCATCTTGCTCACCTTTCTCCAACACAATATATTCCATATTTGCTGGATTTGGCACCAAGTTACTTTTTATTACAAGCTGAAAATTACCCTAAAAGATACAAGATTTCAGGAAGTATCACAGATCAAATGCCATCCAGAAAGAAGAGTACATGAGGTACTTCAACAAATGACAAGAATCACTATCTTCAACGAGGAAACCACGTTGAGATAATATATTTGGTTAAGTGTGTGACTTAGTTTTGCAAAAAAAATAAATAAATAAAAAAATGAAGACAGCAGCACATGAGCATTTTTCTAGTAACTCATTATCGGCATACAGGTCTCCCCCCATTTATGATAGGGTTACGTTCCTGAAAAACCCATCGCAGGTCGAAATATCATAAATCATGATCATTATAATATGGAGTTGAATGGGATACTTTGCCAGCCAGTCCAACACCCACATGTATCACCGAAAACCTCCTACAATAATAAAAGAACTACAGTAAAACTCAATTGAACAACACTCATCACATCATTAAGAACAAGCCTTGTCATCATCACATGTTTCCTTCAAGGGTAAGGGGACTCTTGAAGGTGGAGTAGAAACATCACTCTTAACTCCCACGCATCCCCTGGGGGAGTATGGAAAGGCTTCATAATGTCAAGCTTAACCTCCGGAATCATGGTTTTCATGGCTGCCTTGGCCTTCCCAGACATTTTCAAAGTTACACTGCTCACTTCACAGTCACAAAAACAGAGTACAATGTGAACATTACTGATGTCCTCTCACTGTAAGGGGCAACAAAATAACTGATGGAACAAAGCTTGGGACTACCGTGCATTGGGTAGCTGCGTGATTAGACCGCAGTTGACGAGAGATGCGTTCCATATTTGCTGGGCGATGACCATCGTTCATGGGAATTTTTTTTATCATAAATTGGCAGGTGGTCTTAATACATCACCCTCATTCGAGCGAAATATCATAGATAGGGAGATCATAAATCGGGGAATACCTGTACTTGAAAGAATCGCTATCACACGAGTCGAAGTCATGCTATTGCTGATCTCACCACCATCGCAGTTCAAAACAACCAAGATGGATGCCAAAGACCCAGTGATACTTGCTGCTGTGAGAGTATTGTACATTATGAGGCAGAGAGCATTTGTGGAAACAACCATGGCTGGCAAGAAGGGAGAGAGCATACTGTATATCACCGACTATTTAGAGGACCCTCTAACGATGAGGCAATGAATTCAACTGGACAGGACACACTAACAAGACCTGCTACATGAAGTTACTCCATTGATTGAGAAAAGGAGTCCCTGATCCAGGCGTGTATAGAGTCGAGCAGCCACAGGTCGTAAACAAAAACATTGCAATGTCGTCAGCTATTATTGTAAAATTATGTTTGCTTAAATAAAAGTATTTATCTATTTTCAATTCCCTAGGTTAGGTGAGGTGTGGGTAGATCACTTGGACTGACATAATTAATTTTTTTTGCTGTTTTTTTTCCCTTTTCATGTTTCAACCCCTTTTGTGCTTTATTGCAAGATGTCCAGAACCAAAAACAAACACAGATACTCATTTCAGTCACAGTTAGGTATTCATTCTTACAAAATTATTAGGAGTGGGTGGAAGAAAACTTTTTGGTTTGTCAAGGATGCATGTGTGTGTGTGTTTGATGCAGTGCAAGATGTGGCAAACACCATCACATCTCTGATAGGAAAGCCAGCACGACATTTCCTAAAGCATTTATTTTAACTGTTATTCTTGAGTATTCGAAGTATGAATGAGAACAAGTGTAGAGATGTTTGCGGTACTAATGCTGAAGTAAGGGATTAAGGTGATGATAAAGCCCCTTTTTCTAATTCCCATTTCCAGCCTACATAATGTGATATGACTAACAGTTCACACAACAAATAGGTTCATTAGTTTTACTTCTAGAGCCCAATAATTAATTTACTAACAACTTATATAGACACGGGTCCATAGGTTGGCAAGTCAGGGAAGAAATATGCAGAGGATCACTGCAGATGCTGGTTAATGCTTCTCAAATTTCTTACAATCTTATTTTAGATTTTCTGCAGGTGCTGCAGCATTAATAGGGATTCACATATTTTTAAGGTAACTAACAACATAACATAAGTCTTATTTGGTATGTGTATACCAAAAACATTCACTTTTTATGAAACCATGAGGGTAATTATCTGGACTCTAATACTGCCAGTGCTACACACTAGAGGACTATTTTGTGGAACTGCCTCTCCTAAAAGCAGGCCACTCAAACTATGCAGTAGTACACTCAATGAGTGTTAGTACAACTTGTCAGCATACTGAAATAAAATATAGGTACAGTACTAGTTTATCATTTCACAAACATTAGGTATAAGTAAGGGAATAGAAACATACAGTTAACCCTCACTTTACGCGGTTAATGTAACCCGGAGGGTCCAGCGTAAAGTGAATAACATAACATATGGGATTAATTGAAATGGAGTCCGGGCCGACCCCCAAACTCCACTTTTTGACGACACACAACTATGTTGTAGTAAAAATTTTATCTTAACTTTATGATGGTATGAAAAAACAAGTAATATAGAAGAGGTTAGGTTAGGAAAAATAAAGGTTAACATAGGAAAAATAAAGGTTAGGTTAGAAAAACTAAAAGTTAGGTGGAACACTTACGGTAGTAGAAGAGATGGGTCGGCATACGGGGATGGAGGCTGGTTCTGAGGCAGAGGGCAGATTACTGGCCCTCAGGTGAATCACCATTACTAGGTGAATCACCATCACTGTCACTTACAGTTGTCAGGGCTTCCCTGACAAATCCCTCAATGTCATCTTCACTGTCACTATCACTGGCTTGGGCTGGCTGTGGTGAGTTGCGGGCGAAGAACTCGGTTATGCTTTTTTGACGGCTGGTGTTTATGTTGTCGTGATACACCGTGATGTACGGCTCCATAGCCTGCACCAGCCGGGTATGGAAGACTTCATAGCGGTCATTGTCGCGGGAAAGGAAGGACTTCATTTTCTCTGCACACTCCATGGCACCCTTAATATCATTATGAGTTAAACTGTGTTCTTCGGAGAATGACGCACCTTCTTCCTCCTCTTCACTGACGTGATCTTCTTCCAACATCTCGTCGGCAGTCACTTCAGGATCTCTGATCACCTCCAGGATGTCGTCGTTGGTGGTCTCGGAGAAGCCTGGAACTGTAACAGTCTGCGCAGCTTCTCTGGCAAGGGCTACTGCAACATTCTGAACCTCACCAGTCACAGATTGACTCCTCTCACCTGGTATTCCATGCAACACATGTCTCCATGCGTGACGAATTGTAGCAATAGACAGCTGATCCCATGACTCCACCAAGAAGTCCACAGCTTTCTTGATGTTAAATACTCTCCAGAATTGTTTGAACAGTATTTTTTGCTGTGCCAACTGTTGATCCTCATCTTCTTCGCTCTTGCTATCGGTGGTGGTGTCACTCAGGTTACGCAACTCTTCCCTGGTGTTGGTGTAGTCGTTCAGGAGCTGGAATTTTTTTGTTGAGAATGCAGCTTTTACATTACAGATTAACTCTTGGTCCATGGGCTGTAATATAGACGTAGTGTTGGGAGGAAGGAAGACCACTTTTACGTTGGGGTGACGATCTAACAGTAGGGGCGAGTGTCCTGGTGCGTTGTCCAGCAGCAACAAAATATTGAATGGCACATTCTGTCGCTCACAGAATTTCTTTACATCGGGAACAAAACAGTCATCAAACCAGGAGAGGGACAGTGTAGAGAACATCCACGCCTTACGTGCGGTCAGCCAGTGGACATTTAGCTTGGTCATGTCCATGGTTTTGTAGGCGTGCGGCTTGCGTGCTGTGTGGATCACCGATAACTTGAGCTTACAGGTACCGGAGGCATTGGTGGTAAACAGGACGGTGATGCGTTCCTTCTGCATCTTCCGGCCCCGAATCCTGCTGGCATTCTTTACAACGAAGGACTTGGAAGGTAGCTTTTTCCAGAAAAGACCAGATTCGTCCATGTTAAACACCTGGTCGTCACTGTACTGTCCTTCCTCCATAATCTCACGTAAAAACGGAGGAAATTCCCTAGCCGCAGCACAGTCAGCACTCGCTTCTTCACCACCAATGTTTATATTGGTGATCTTGTTCCGGATCTTAAACCTCTGTAACCACCCAGAGGAAGCATTAAAGGGTTTGGGCTCTGTAGTTCCCATCTTTCGTGCCACTGCGATGTACAGTTCACGTGCGTAGTCCTTAACAGAGCGCGTGTCGACCGCCATGTTCCGTCGCGCCTGACGCACCAAGTACCTCACAAGTAATTTTTCTGTCTTGAGAAGCACCTGGTTGTGAAAATACTTGATCATAGAAGCACCTGTAGACTTTGTGATCTTCATGTGCTCCTTTATCTTGGCTGCATCCTTCTTTATTGTTCGAATCGTAGATTCATTCACACCATGCTGGCGCGCCAAATCAACCTGCCTTGTTCCTTTCTCCAACTCTTGGATGATGGTATACTTCACCTCGTAGCTTAAGGAACGTCGTGTCTTCTTTGGCTTAGTGCCGCTGGGTCCAGGTAAGGAAAGGTTTCTCTCTGGGGGTGGTGGTCCGGCGGAAGCCATTTTACGGAACAATGGATGCGCGTTTACACGGTGTGGCCTTGAGGGATGAAACTGCCGCGGCTAGGTCAAGCGTCGTCTTTCCTCCCTCCCTCCCTCCCCCGGGTGGACACGTCATAATACTTTAAGCCAATTACAGCTAGCAGCAGAGGGGGGTAGGGATGCATGGCCAATCACAGTCCGACACGTCATATGACGTCAGTGATAACGCAACAAAGACACACACTGCGCAACCTTACTGCGCCGCTTGCCCAAGCGGAGGGAGGAGGAGGGAGAGGCGAGGAGCACAGGCAGGCAGGCGGGCGGGTGGCGCGAATCTAAAAATAGCGTCGCGCCGGACACTCTCCGCGTAATGGGGTTCACGTACCGCGTAATGTGAGCACGTTAGGTTCTGGCAAGGCACCGCGTAAACGTGGAAATGCGGAATGCGGGACCGCGTAAAGTGAGGGTTAACTGTATTGTTTGGGCACAAATTCCTTTTCATATTCCTCTTAGTGAAATGTGGAATAGATTACAAAATGTATTTGGTCATTAGCGTAACGCCCTCTTATTTGTGTCAGTCATTGCTTTGAGAATCATGTCCCAGCCACTTGATCTCATCTGATGACTAGAATCTAAAGGTTTGCCCCTGAACTAAGACAGTGCCAAATATCATCAAGCTCGGAAGTTACAGAATGTTATTTACTGTTAGAGCAAGATTGTCTTACCTTAGAAATTTAACCACAAATTGAATGCTAACTCAAACACTGCCAGGAATGATGCAGTTAATAGTCACAGAACTGTAAATACAAGACTTGGGGAATAATATTTCAAAATAAGAAGGCTAACATGTGTGGCTATTTATATGGTTAGATTAGGTCTGTATTGTACATCATAGAAATTTCTGGGGTAAGATAAGGGATTGTATTGAATTTTCTTGCCATACATGTGTGTGTGAGTGTGAACTAATAAAAATGCAGTTCATATTTACCACTGTTTTTAGTTGGTTTCATCACCTGGTTATGGATAAGGCATATACATATAATCATGCACACACTTCTTATAAACAGAGGAATGATACATATATTTAATAAAAAAACTGATTATGAATTTTTTAAAAAACTTTCATGACATGCATGCAACAGTGGCAAACTACCTTTACTTTAGGGAGCCTTAGAACACTTAACATTCAGTCTCTGCTGTGTCAGTTTTCCCATGTGCCATATTTACTTGGGCTTGTTTGTTTTCAATGAACTAAAAACTGTAAAATAACCCTATGAGTGGAAAACATACAGCTAGTGATATTTGCCTCTGATTAAAAAATAAGTTGTTGACTTCACCAGTGCCTTGCCTACCAAACACAATGGTTAGAACAAATAGTGAGATAGGTGACTAATTTAAAGAATGTGCTGAAATTGTGACAGCTTTAACTGTTACTACAGTACTCTTAGCCTAATTGGGGTTATGGGGATGAAATGGCAGGCACTCCTGCTGCTATATTCCATAATCATTACTCTCTACCCCAGCTGGCCTCTATACACAGTTTCACATTTAAGTTTTAATTTAAGTATTTAAATTATATTATCAAGATAAAATTTTACCATTAGTGTCCCCAACTAATGCTTTTATGGTCACTGTTTCTGGGAACTACAAAAGAAAGGGGGTTGTCAAATTGCCAGTTTTAATCTAATGAATAGGATATGCTTGACATGTACAGTATAGTGTTAAATATCTAACATATGGACTAAATATAAATTAAATCTGTGTTTTGGTTAACACAATGATGCACATTACAGGTGACTAAAGTTCAAGCTCAATTTACTTACCAGTCTCACCAATGTGGAACAATACCCAGTAAATAACTTCATATTGTCAGAACCATAATATCCTGAATGGAATGACTAGATAAGTGACAGGTTATTGCTTCATCACTGTCTTCCTGTTACCCACCAGAATAGCAAACACAAAACCAGCAATCTTCTCGTAGCAGACAAACATGAGTGCTGCTGTCAACACTGTTTGTAGAATCTTGGCCTCCAGACCCTTGAACAAGCCTCTGAATCCATACTTTCTGTTGAGAGATTATCCACTTTTAAACAGTAAGCTTAAGTGATTCCTCAGGAAAATATAACAGTAAAGAAAAACAAATCACAATAGTCCTTATGTTTATCAGTGCCTTCAGCTTTTTCCATAATTTATACAGTATTTGTAAATCAAATTTTATTTGTATTATTATTATATTTTTTTTTTTTAAGAAAATGTCCTTGTTTCTGTTGCTTCCAACAGATAATCAACAATCTTTTCAACTAAAAAAAAAAACAGTTTGCTTAAAAGGAATCAAAGAACCCTAATGTTTCTTATAAAAACATGTTAAAAATTTACATAACACATCATATTTTGGATCACATTAAGATTATCATCCAAGAATAATTCATCAGATGAATAAACATTCTAATGCTACCTGGTGGGAGGGGAGGTTAAATTAGGGTACCATTCGGGTGGTTAATCTTAAGATTAAATAAAATGTAAGGATAAATTTATGGCCATCCGAAATTTTAAACAAGAGCGTATAAAAGCCACCTTACCTGATTATATACATCATAATGGTGATGAGGCCAGCCTTCTGTGGTACGCCTTCATAGTTGTGGCCATGCTGGAAATATACGTTTAATTTTATTTTTTATCTTATCAAACCATTTGTTTATTGTTTAACAATGAACGGCATTCAAAAAATAACCTGTCTGATTACAGGAAAGTCAGCTTTATGTACTGTACCTGTGTCATATCATGTGTGTTCTCGTTTTCTGTTTTCAAAGATGGAAAAAATTATATCATGAAAATATAAGACAAATCTTTGAATAAATAGAAAGGAGACACTAGTACATATTTCTTACCCTCTGCTTGGCTTGCACCAGCTGGATGGGGTAAGTGAGGACTGTAGCAAGAGCCTTGGCTGCTGCACCAACACCAAACACCACCAGGGAGTTTAGTTGCTGGGAGTTGTACACAGTTTGCATTTGGCGCTTCATAGCTTCATAGGCCATGAATTGGATGGCTGGATTAACAGTAAGAATCAGGGAGGAGGTTGCACCAGACCACAGGCCAGCCAGCCCCTCTTCTCGTCCAACGTGTGCCAAACCATCTGAAAATAAAACAAAGATACCTGTACAGTGGGGTATGCTATAACGAACAGATTCTACTACGAATATTCCTATAACGAACGGTTTTACCTATAAAATTGAGAATGCTATAACGAACGAAACTCCTACAACGAACAGTATTTTTTATTATTTTTTTGTACGAATTTATTATTTTTTATTACAAGTATTAATGATATTCTTTATTTCAGGAGTTTAAATGCACATTTATGCACTTTTTTACAATTTTTACAATTTTATATTATATTTTTCATTGTTAAGTGGTTGTATTTGGGGGCCTGGAACGGATTAATCCTATAACGAACAAATGCTATAACGAACGAGGTTCTAGAACCAATTAGATTCGTTATAGCATACCCCACTGTACTTCATCTACTTTCAACTTTTGCTCAGGAAATACCATATCCAATTTTTACTTATACCGTACCAATACATGAACTTTACTTATGTCATATAATTAGGGATGAGGGGAACAGCAAGTAGATTCTACCCAGTTTTTCACACCTTTTGGTTTTCTACACCTACATTTCCTTCCTACACTGTTCACATATTTTCAATACCCACACTCCTGCCAAAAACTTTAATTCACTTATGGAAATGTAGGTCAACTCTCATTAAAGAATCCCTTCCATGTCAATATTAGGTTTAAACAAATATTTTTATTTCTTACAATTCCTAAAACTTATAATTTTTAGCTAGTCAGGGCACAATTATTTGCAATTACCTACTTGTTCATGTACAGAACTGTACATTACTTTCTCCTTTACTATTTCTTTAAATTAAATGAATTATTTCACCCATTGCAATGAAAGTGTGATCTATTGTTGCATATTAAATTGAAAGTAATCAAAGTGTTAACTAATACAGTACTGTACTGTACAATATAGCATTTTACTTTAGGAGTGACCAACACAAGGCATACTAGAGAAAGCAATAGCCTATCAGCCTCCTCCTGCAACTCTCCACTGTGTTACTGCTGAAAAAGTGTCTTTTGTAGAAAGGAAAATTCATAAATAGTGTATATAAATAGATGAAAAATTCTCCCATTCCTTTATGTATGTAGATCCTACATGGAAACCCATTCATCCATATTAAAAATATATCACAATACAGTAATGCACAATCCTCTAGTTCAAATAAATTAAAATTATTGTTGACCAATTATATACTTGAGATACAAGAACACCAATGTTGGAGCATGTTATGACTTACCTAGCAAACCCTTATACTTGCGAGAGGCAGCATGTTGACTATTGTGAACTTTGGCACCTTGCATTTTCAAGCGAGTGTTCACAACCCAGAGTGGATTGGTGGTCATTACATTAATTGATCCTGCAGGGAAAAACAAAATAATTGAACTGTTTCCATTCAAGGTGACTCTCACACAAATGTTATTGATATTTGATTTTGTTATCAAACATAGTATGAAGGTTCAATACATAATATTTACACGTTACACTTTAAATAATTATTAATAATGGAAAGAAAAAAATGGAAGACTTAAATCTGCTTCCACAGTCTTCTAATGATTATCTTAAAATTTGGCACCCTAGCTTATTTCACCTTATTATCATTAAACAACCTAACACTATTAGGGGGGGGGTTAGGTTAGTGTTAGGACGGGCAATCTTAAAACAAAATACATTGGGGTGCCTAATCTTCATGTGATAACTAACCTGCGACCATAGCCAGTAGGAGGTCTCGTAGTGCAGCTTTATCTTCATTAGCTATTCGTTTCAGTCCATGGAAGGTGTAGAAATAGACAAAGTTGGAACAGTATAAGGATTCTATCACAGGTAGCAGACCACGGTACAAGCCAGCACTGTGGAAAGGAAATGAAGACTTAAAGTACTTTGTATACTGTATTGAGCTTTCAAAATCCCAGTTAAATTTATAAATTCACAATACGTACAAGGATTTATATTTGTAGAGCATAATATATGTCCCGACTGTCTGCAAAATTAAAATTCAAAGCCTATGAGAGAACTAAGAAAAAAGGGAAAATCAATGAAACAGCTTACAAGTATATACAGTATATCTAACCAAATAATCAATGGTAACAAAAAACATTAAAAAGTACACTCCTCAGTCATTATATATATATGGTCTGTGGAAGTACTGAGTGTATCTACAGAAGCTTTTTTTTTTTTAGAAATCATTTCATAATGTCACCCAAAAGTCATTTGCCAGCAGGATCTATATTGTCAAAATGAAGATGTATTATGTTGAATTTTAGAAAATTTAAATAATGAAATGACTGGACAAAGGTGAAACAGCTTGTAGACTGATGCAAAATATGGGATAGGTACAACAACCCTGTTCAATATCAAAGCTCACAAGGGCCCAGCTGCTTAAATTCTGCACTAAAAGAGAAAGCAAAATGGGAACACCATATGTAGTCAACTGATTACAACAAGCTGGGTGGAACTACATCATGTTATGTACAATACAACATCCATTCTTGTGTCTTGTATTATACTTTAATAATTTAATCAATTCAAATGTAAAAAAAAAGTTAAACATTTTAATTGGTTTCTTGTTCCTTAGGAAGTGTTTTTGGTTAACTTCCTATAATTAATGGAATCTTAATTCTATCACAGCTACAACTAACTACTGAAATCCCTATGATGTAGCACTGCTTCAACTTACAGTCCTTCCTGTTTGTACACCTCGGCCATAATGAAAAAGGTGTTGCGGCTGGTTCTGCCTTCCTCCACTGGAATTTTAATATATGAATTAAAAACAAATACTGTACAGCATTTTATTGCAGAAAGGAAATCAATATGCTATGTGATACTCCCAGGTCTGTCAGGACACAACTTTAAATGTCACAGTAAAGATTTTAAGTTTGGCAAAATTTATAATCTAACACCTTTAACACTATACAGTACTGTAAATGTATGTGACCTTAAGACAGAAATTTGCACAATGAGGGTTTTTCACTTTTAGCAAAGTTCTTTATTTTGAGTTTGTATTTGATTGCTCCTGCCTGCAATTTCTTTATAAAAAAGAAAATAACAATGCCCTTGAATTTGTTTGTGAATTATCCCTTCAAACAGTTAGAAATAAAAATGTAAATCTACTGTGTTACAGTTAAAAACAGGGTACAAAATAATTTTAAAAATTTATTAGCATGATCTGTTATAACCATTGATGTACACACTATGTGAGATTTTACATTTATGTCACACTCGGTAAACCTTTTTTTAAGAACAGTAATTTTACACCTGAAATACCGTAATGGAAGAAACAATACACTAATAAGACACAAGACTTAAACATTTACAGCACATTGGTCGAGGCACTGCTAGGTTATTGTTACGAAACCTCTTACAACTAAGGGATAATGAGTTCCAAAATAATAACAATGGGACAAGGTTGGCTGCATTCATAGGCTTTAAAAATATGACTACCTTTGAATGGAAACATTACACAATAGACCCTCGACAGAGCAATTCTCTGGTGAACAAGACAATATGGAACCTAATTCTCTTTCTAAGGTCTACTGCAAGTACTGTACTAGATAATTCAGAGAGATGCCATAAACAAGTAAAAGTTAAATAGAAATGGAGTCCAAATTATCTTTATTAAACCATAAAAGTAAACAACAGTGAGAATGTAGCCAGGTACAGCCAGGTACTGTACTGAGCCACAAAAGGAAGTTGGAATGAAAGTGACAGGGTAAAAACACTGATAATATGGCAGTAATTCCATGTCTCTACCTCCTTTGTAGGTGAAGAAATAAATTATTTACCGTATTTATGCCGCCGTTAAATCTCCTGTGGTAGCCGTGTTAAGGTTCACAGCATCTGCGGTCTTTGTTTACATGTCAAGAAATTAACAGCAATTTCATCAAGTGTGTTTATTACGATTTATATTGGATTGAATTCGTTCATTTTTTTTTTTAGAGATGATGTTTGGATGCGAGTATGTAAGAAAATTGAAACGACAATGCACAGGTTAAGACGTTAGGTAAGGTTCAGTGTATGTTCGCTTCCATATTTGTACTTAGTATCATGCAAATAGTATCTCCAGAAATTTTGGTTCAACTCCATATGTTATTTCTGGTGCTGTCTCCTCCACCTTTACTGTTTAATCATCAGGTGAAAAAAGGTAGTGCGAGAAATCTTAAGGTGATCCAAGGAGACCTGTGAGAATCAACAAGTAATGATAGACCTACGCTGTAATCTTGTTCTGACGGTGTCAAGTGGAAAAAGCACAGACATTGCCACTGCAGATCCCTGAAATGAAAATAGAAGCTTCTAAATAAAATGAATATGGGAAAGAATACAATTATTTTTCTCCTGCACAAAAAAGCAATCATAATGTGTACACTATGTACTCTCTACAACCGAGTTTAATTATCTGGAGAACTTGAAATAAAGTTCATAAGAGGTTTACTAGTGGCAGTTAAAAGAAGTAATTACAACATGTGATTAAAATAACTGAAAATGTGATGTTAGAAAAGGAAAACACAGTGAAGGAGACAAACTCAAGAACAAATCAGCTTTAGATTTGCATCCCCCCAACTTATTTCATCTAAATACCGGTAAGCAGTGCTTAGGTTCACGCCTGCAAATAATCCAACATACAGTACAATTCTTCAGAGATTATTTTAGCAAAAAGTAAAAAAGGATAAAATAAACTTTTTCATCTGCCATCAGTTAATAAAGTAAGCTTTTTTTAGGATTAGGATTTTCCTAGGTTATGAAATATGGTGTTATAGGCATATGCTAAGAATAAGCTACACTGACAGAACAAATGAAGAAGTACTCAAGATTGGCAAGGGCTTCAAGTGAAATACCTGTACTGGAAATGTACAGGGTGAGAAAACTTATATGCAGTACTTTGGTCATATAATTAGGGATTAGAGAATGGTACCAGAAACATTGATGGGCATTTCTGAGGGTGGGAGGGCCTGGGGAATGCAGAGACTGAGATGGATGAGTAAAATTAAAAACTGGGTCCCCAGAGACTCGGAGAGATACTGTACAAAATCATGGAGGATTGGCAAAAACAGCCCAAGAATGTTTAGAGTGGACTGTGGTCCTCAATCCATAGATATAAGGACAGTATTCTAATTGATTGAGGTTATGAAAGGTTAGGTCACGTTTTCAAAGGTTTGTTTGATGATTTTGTTTCTAGCTCCACCTTTTCCCTCGTCTTCAAAACCCTGCCCACTGTGCAAATCATGGTCGTATCTCCTTACATACCGGTAAGCATTGGTGATGGAAATAAAGGTCAGATTCATTCAAATCACCATGAATATCATTAAAAAAAACTTATTTCTGTTATCAAATTCCCATTATGGCATAAAAACAAATTTTACCAAAATAAGTTTTCTTTAAAAAAATCCAAAGTTGCTGGTTAACCTGTGCATCTGTTCCAGACCGTTATCATATCTATTTTCTGTACATAACAGTCAATCTAAGTACCATGTAAGATGATTTTAATAAATGACTATGGTAAATTTTCACTTGGTGCCACAATATGAAAGTCAAGTCGAAACTACGGTATGTTTTTCCAATGGTTTTTGATGTTATGAACATATTTGACCTTCAATTCTGCCACAAGTCAATAGTTTGAGATAAGCCCCCCACTCCCATCTCAGAATCTACAGATTTACTTAAAAAATCAAGGTAAGAAGTGTTCAAAACACATCGAAAACCATTGGAAAATGTTTTGAATCTGACCTAACCAAGGAGCTCACAGTCATTCGATGTTCTGGGTGTGTACCGCCATGTATGAACATACATAATAAAATGTTAAATATCTATGCTAGACATACCAATGAAAAAATGTCTTAGAATTGTCAAAATTACCGATTGCAACTATAAAATTCCCGAGATTCGTTTAGTGCCAACTAGTGAAATAATACCATTAACTTACCTAACGTACCCTGTGTGACAATTTTACTGAATAAACATCAAAACTGTCAACCTTAATAATACTTAACAAGAGTGGTCCAGGCATAACACCAGCTTCAGGAAATTTTTCTACCGAAGAAAAAGCTTTCTTAACTAAATATATTACTTTTTTGTTTTGTTTTCTAGAGGTAAGAAAGCTTTTATATATACCAATCTAATTATTTATCTATAAACTGTATACCAGACTATACTCACACATCCTCCAGCTATGGCGTGGACAAGGTTGCTGTAAGAAAAAAGACCTGTTTTGGGAGCCTTGGCCATGATGATGATGGTCACACTTTGTATTCTCAGTCAACACATATTATACCATCTTCCACCTCTCATAAATACAGTGCCCAGGTATCGATGTTATCATTCCCTGGGTTGGAAAACTTTTTGGGGAGGTTTGTTGTTGTGTTCCCGGTGTGTTGGTGTCTGGCACTTGAAGTTTTCTTGGTTAAATTGACTTATAGTTTACCATTGTTTGTATATGTGTATTGCCTACATATTCCGAACTTATGTGAGCTTGTATGACGATATTTACGATAAAATTGATCTCTTTATCAGTTAAGTAAACTTGTCTGCCGTTGCCAACCGTCGTCATGGGCGAGCTCAATCATCTGATGGCTGCCAGATGTACGACAACCTTCACGCCATCTCACGGCCAAATTGCCCAAAATTCGGCCAAAACTTTTTGGATGGGAAGCACAAGGCTATTTTTGCAATCCACACAAAATAAAAGTACCCCTTACAATATCCACTTAAAATGTCGCAATAATACCAAATTTTCACTTAGAATTGAGAGCCCAATAATTACATAAACATAATATCTATAATCTATAGTGAAGATTTACCTTAATCTGAAATGGTGGTGGAGCATGATAACACTAGTTGGTGTAAGCAAAAACGTCTAGTTCGTCATCGTCCCCTGGTTTGTTATATTTTCTACCACTCCTAGGACCCTTTTCATTTACTAGTGGTCATTTTGAAAACTAGCATTCGGAATTTCAGAAAGTAATTCAGATGGCTTTGTAAGCTCTGAAGCTTAACCCATATGCTGGACACGTTCAGCCTGAACAACTCAAATATGAGAACTAACAGCTAAGGTAGTAACTAGAAAGATCAGTCAGCTCAGTAGGTCACGTAAACATGTGAAGAGGTGAGGTCATGACAAGGTGAGATCTCCGAGCCAGCATTTTCTTTGTGAAATTTGAAAATCTGCTAGACTTTTCTTCACAATCCACTAAATGAGGAATTAATACGTGTTTTACAAAATTCGGACAAATAGTTTGGCCGCGACCATCCATTTTTCACGGCCAGGCGAAGTTTTTTATGGCCTAGTTAGAGAAATTTGGCCGTGGAAACGGCCATCTGGCAACCCTGCTAGCAAAGGCCGAATTCCGGGTTTACACCCCAAAATAAAGCTTTTATTTTTTAGTAGTGAAGCGTGGGTTTTCTCATATTTTTGGAATAATCATATCCTGGATGACTAACGTTATTATTGAAAGAAAATTTTAGTATAAGAATTTCCCTTGATGAGGAAGGTATTGCCAAGGTAGGGAGATACCAGGTAGCCTCACACAGGCCCATAGGCAACTCTACTCTCGAGATCGCTAAACCACGCCCCCTTTGTCACTTCATGCGTTTGTAATATTGTGGTATTATCTGTATAGATTCTTTCTCTAATCAAAATATACTAACATAAAATGTTATTAATCAGATATATATTTAACAATATGTAATATACAGTGTATATTGCCATGTAAATTATACAATAAGAAAATGTTTGACGAAATTTACAATAAAACGAGAACTCTGGTCGAATTGTAAAATATTCAATACATTTCCTCCCATTTTAATTTTATTCTGGCATTCTGGCTATTCCCAGCAGTATGGTAACTGTTGCTTGACTTCATTAACTGGTTCTGACTGAAGCATCAACTGTTAATGCAGAAAATAAGTAAACACGTTTTATTTTACTCTAATTGATATACAAAAAGAAGTGTGATGGTTTAAGAGTTACCGTACACACAACCATATCATATCCTTAATAATGTAAATAATACTCGATGAATGAAGAATGCATTTATATATTTCACACAGGTATCGCAATAACTTTACAAGTTACTATTAATGGCTGCTGAGATTCAATGTCACGAAGTGTAAGAGGATGCACCTGGGGCGCACCAACGGTAAGGAGGCGTACCATATGTCCCAACGGGATGAAGAAAATGTACTAGTTGAGACTGTGTGTGAGAAGGACCTAGGTGTGTATGTTGACAATGAGCTGAAGTTCTCGGGCCATTGTGAGAAGAAGGTAAATCAGGCAAATAAATTATTGGGTCTTATAAGAAGGTCGTTCAGATATCTAGACGGTCCGTCCCTCGTGACGATCTTCAGGAGTGAAGTGCTTCCCCATCTGGAGTACTGTCACCCCATCTGGTCCCCGAGATATGCTAGGGACTGTCAGTTGGTTGAAAATGTTCAAAGGAGGGCCACCAAACTGGTGCCTGCACTTCGGCATCTCAGCTACCCTGAGAGATTGGAGCGCCTGAACTTGCCTAGCTTATACAGACGGGCAAGGGGGGACCTAGTTGAGGTTTATAAGCATCTCAGGGGGCACTACTCAGTTGAGTGTCCTTACTTGGAGCTGGCGGACGCTCGCCCCACAAGGGGTCACAGCTCAAGATTGAAGAAGCCGCAAGTCCAGAAAACCGTGAGGGCAAACTTTTTCGGAGTGAGGGTTGTAAACTCTTGGAACAATCTACCAGAGAGTGTTGTGACGGCACCGAGTGTGAGCTCTTTCAAGAGAAGACTTGACCAACACTGGAGCGGGTTCAGGTACATTCAGGAGCCGGTGCATGCCCAGTATTTGCCAACAGTGCGTGACAGAGACGTGACCGATCGCCCGGGCGGCTAGCGAGCCGATCAGTGGCGAAGAGGATAAAAGTAAAAAGTAAAAGTAGATATATTTTCATGTTATAACATTTAACAGACATAATAACTGTTTTCGTTTTTTAGTACAAACACACATAAATACATACATAGTGTATTGGTGTCCTGAAGTTTTATAGAGGCTTGCCAGCCTAAGTAAGAGACAAACAAATAATCCAACAACCTCTCCTTGGTGGTAGTAGAGAGTGTGTTGGTGTCCTGAAGTTTTATAGAGGCTTGCCAGCCTGAGTAAGAGACAAACAAATAATCCAGATTATAAGTATATGTAACTTAAAATAAGAAGGATATTGTGAGCTGTTACTTGCATTTTTCTCCATTCTATCGATATTATTGGGAATGCCTGTCACACCAACCATGTCCCATTCTCACTACCCATGCCCCATTAATTTATCACCACTATCCATGGCCCCATTCTCACCACCAATGCTTCAGTCATCAAACATGCGGCTAGTAGGTTGATTAGTGGCGAAAAGGAAGAGGGGCACGTTGTTTCGTGTTTTATATATGATTTACGGCTGTGTCGTTCAAATATAATAGTTAATGTTTAATGTGGGTTTATTAGATTACATTGTGTGCAGTGGCGGCTCGTGCATAGGGCTGCAGAGCTGCAGTCCCCCCAGACACTCACTGCCTGGCGTATGATTCCTTTAGAGAGACAGTTACTTTCATAGTTGCTGTCAATGCTGTACGATTCATGTCTGTTATTAATTGGCGCCGCCGCCGCCGCACTTGAAGCAGCTCAGTCTCGTACAACGTGTGGACGGTGTGGTTAAATCGTGCTTTCTTTAATTACCCTTTGACGATGGAAAATCGAGTGAAGTATTTGCAAAACATCAACTTTTCCCAGCTGACATTAAATGAAAAGGCTGAAATCAAAGCAAGAGGAAGACCTACACCAGTTTTATCCATTCAACAGAACAGTACAAGCAGGAACAAAGAATATACACGCCAGTTTAACATCAGTGTTTATGGCTCTGTGGTTGTGACGAGGCAAATACTTTATTCTGCTTTCCATGCTTATTGTTTGGTGGGGACTCGGCATGGACGAAAAGTGGTGTGACTGACTTGAGGCATTTGCCACAGAAAATAGTGAAACATGAGCAGTCAGCCAAACATATGAATAACATGATTAATTTATCGTTGCTGGGTAAAGTGAACATTGCAGCTCAGATTGACACAGCATACAAGCTCTCAGTTGCAAAACACAATGAACAGGTGAAAAAAACAGAGATGTGTTATCCAAAATCATAAACTGTGTAAAATTTTGTGGAAAATTTGAACTCCCTCTTAGAGGACATGATGAAACAATGAGCTCTAAGAATCCGGGAGTATTTCGTGGATTAGTTGATTTTGCTTGTGAACTGGATTCTAGCTTAGATGCTCATTTAAAGGCACGCCGACTTTATTTTCAATTAATACTGGTCCATCACCACCTTCTACCACCAACACTACTACCATGCCCTGGGAATTCGTGGACATCAACTACAACTCATACCTGAGGTAGGTCAAATTTGTGTATCCTACTGTTGTGTGAGGCTTGCAGTCCCTCCATTTTATTTTTCACGAGCCGCCACTGATTGTGTGTGTTTTTAATATCTCATACTGTACAGTATTTACGCGGTAGCTCGCCAAAACCAAGGTGATGACTGTCCAAATTGCTGATCCGCAGTATTTGTTCCGTTATTTTCTGATCCTTTGCACTACTGTGAGGTTTCCTATAATGAAGAGCAATTTAATATATATTTACCTTTAATAAATCTAAACTTGAATAATAAAGCCAACAATTATTTTGTGCGGGATAAATAATAGGACAATTCCTGAACAAAAAAAATAGACAGTGTCTGTTAAACCAAACAACACACATATGATATGTAAATAACAGGACATTTATCTATATAAAGCAATTAAAGATATTTATGGTGTCTTTGTCAAAGTGAATATGCAGATTGTTAACTGGGAGTAATTAAAAAAATGTAGAGATCTTTACATGCAGGTTTCAGGAGAACCTATAAACTGTACTGTATAGTGTAAACACAAAGCATCCGTGTAAATATGTAAATTAAATTACATTATTGAAATTAGCACTACACTGTATCCAAAATATTCCTATAATAGTCGTGATCCCAACAATGATCATATCCAGCAGAAGCAGGCATTATATCCGGCAAGAGCAGACATATCCAGCAGAGGCAGACATTATATCCAGCAGAAGCAGACATTATATCCAGCAGAAGCAGACATATCCAGCATAGGCAGTCATTATATCCAAGAGAAGCAGTAGACACCCAGCATAGGGAGACATTATATCCAGCATAAGCAGTCATTATATCTCGCAGTGGCAGTCGTATCCAGTAGAAGCAGTCATCACAAAAAGTAGACGCAGATATCTAGCAGCAGGGACATTATGATCCAGCAGAACCAATCTATCCAGAAGCAGATATTATATCCAGCAGAAGATGTAAAAATCACATGTAGCCGGGGTTGAAGGAGCAGTACAAAGCAGACTCACTCAGCAGGGGATCTGGGTATAGCGGAGGGAGAAGCCGCGGTTGTTAACATCGATGGTGCTGTTTTCAGCGTTGTCCGTCACCACGCGAATCTCGAACGGTGCGGAGAAAGCTACGGGAAGAAGGCAGAATGTTGTTATTTTTCATTTTTTTTTACGAATCGGTTGAAGTTGCGATAGCGGAATGTTACCGTGCGAAAGGTTAAAGTTAGGTTAGATATCCTGAAAGTCGTTATTGTTTTTGTATCGTATTGTTGTCCATTCTCTTTTTGTTATTGTACAATAAAGCTACGGGGAACTGGAGAGCAATTAGTTTTTGTTATTTTTTTTTACTTTAATTTTACCTATCGATGAACTTTGTCAATAAAGTTTTACCTTATGGCCAGGGCCGTCTAAACAGCATTGTTGGGCCTGGGCAAAGCAATGTCCTGGGGCCCCTACCCACCCGCCCACTCAAATATAAACTAAAACTTTCAGTAAAATTAAACATATAATTAATTGGTACGTTGAATAACACAAACGTTTAAACATATAATTAATGTACTTCATTAGGTGCATCATCGACTTCGTCATTAACTTAGTAGTGGCGTGCTCTATTCACGGGGCCCCTAAAATCGTGGGGCCCTGGGCCAATGCGTTAAGACGGCTCAGCCTATGGCTGTACAGAAAAACGAAGGAAAACCGCTCGGGTTTAATTAAATGTCACTGGACGGTGTTACCTAGGAACTAAAATTTAGCCTAGCCACTCACTAGTCAACTCTGCGAAGTCGCTGCCACAGTATCGGTCAGGGCCGGAGACAGTGCCATCTTTGGAAACGACGGGGATCAACACGAAGTCGTTCTCACACTGAGAGTCTGTTGAATTAGCAGCTGCAGAAGGAAAGACAGAATAATTAATATGGATAACAAGAATTTGAACAATACCGGAAGAAAACACACACACACTTCACTCACCGCCAACCATTTATCCTAACCCTCCCACAAACTACTTATCGCCAGTCTCCTATCGTTCACGTGCATTGTTGCCTCTGGTGTCCTACCCAATCTTCTCCTTATTACTTCTCAGTCAACAGTGCTTTCTTTACTTTCTTCAGTTTCTCTCCCTATCACCATCTACCTCTGGACCTCTTAACCAATCTTTCACTTACCATTCTGTCAAAATGTCTTAGAAAATGGTAATAAACATCCCTAGTGTAAAGTTCAGCGGATAATATTTCTGACGACCTACTTACAGGGTAAGTTAAAATAATGCGATTTTTTATAGTTATTCTGTGTAAAGTTGTATAATGATTTGTTGTGCAGTTTTCTATATGTTTCTACGCGGCGTCGGTGTTTTTTGTCATGTATATAGTACTGTATTTTGGTCTTAGCTGGCGTTATGGGGTGATGTGTTAACTTTGTTTTGGTGTTCACGAAGTTATGTTCAACTCTGTAGTGTTCAATGATGTCACATTGTTTATGCTGTATTCTGCCGTATTAAATAGAGTTCTACTTGATTCCGTGGAATTGTGTGGTGTTCTGTTATGTTGTATGGCTGATCACATCGTCGCTACATAAATACCATCTTTAGATACACTAAAAACCTACTCACCCAGGTAGAACACGCATAACGTACACTTATGCACCCACATACAACCCCTTACACCAGTGATTCCCAACGTGGGGCCTACGCCCCACTGGGGGGCAATTCAATAATAATAGAGGGGCAATATGAAAAATATAGTAATATCAACATTTTTTTTTATTTTACCCTATATGGGTAAAAATTATAAATTTATAGGGTAAAATTGTAATTACAACCTAGCTGAGCACAACAGTTTGTGCAATCTAGTCAAGTGTTCACCCACTAATGTTATCGTGCATCTGGCACCAGCTATATGCGTGGCTTCTGACTTGTTTAACTTTGCAGTTCTTCATCTGCTGTCAAGGAAGAATGGTAAGCGATTTCAACTTCACATTTTCTGATTTGAAAGAAATTAATTATCCATCTTGGATGACTCAGCCATTGCTAGTGGATCTGTCAGATGTAACCATGGAGTATCAAGGAGAACTTTCAGAATTACAAAATGATGACTCGATTAAAGCCCTGTTCAAAATAAAAGGAACAATGATGTGGCTCTGTGAAGAAACACAAGCTAAATATCCAAATACAAGTAGTTTGGCAAGAAAACTACTGTTACCATTCCCATCGTCATACTTAGTGGAATGTGGATTTAGTGCTGTGAATGACTTATTACTGAAGAAAAGAAACCGACTGGATATCACTAAACGAGGCGACTTGAGATTGAAATTAACAAAATTTCTGCCTCGGATAAAATCTCTTTGCAGTAGACATCAGGCTCAAGGGTCTCATTAATTGATTGTAATTGAATTTATTTAATCTGATGGTAGATATGTTATACACATTATAAAATGGATTTTATTTGATTAAATTTGAAGTTAAACCCTTTAGTTTTATTTGAAAGATACAATTTTTTATGTTATACTTCTTCAAAACTGATATTGTTATATCATACTAAACAATTAACGGGTGGGGGACATGAAGAAATTTGTGATAAAAAAGTGGGGCATGGTACTAAAATGGTTGGGAACCACTGCCTTACACCCTCTTACAGTACAACAAGCACGAGGTACTCACTAGGGTTTGAAGCATTTAAGCTCATAGAGAAATGGTCATTGGTGTACTTTATACCACAGAAACCTTCCCTTGCTCTAATACATGCAGTGTATTGCTGGTTCGCGAGCTGGTGGATGCCATCTGTAGTCTGCGGGGGTAAAAGAGAACTGGATAAGGTACAGGTACGTGAACCAGCTGATGCTGGATGGGTGAGACTCGATATTTTGTTTTTTATTTAAAATTGGAAAGTCAATTAAGTGCGTAAAATTCATAGTTTAATTAATTTTCCTGTGAGTAGCAATGTGGCGATGAGAGTAGTACGATGGTGACTAACCTGGTAGTTGAAGGATTTGATGGTGCCGGAGTACTCGCTGAAGTACTGGAGGCAGTTTGGGGGTGCTGTGGAGGAACACGTGGATGTTAAATGTGATACTCTCTCTCTCTCTCTCTCTCTCTACGAAGACAGTCTACGTATGTATAAACACATATAATCAAATACATCCATTTGCACGCACATAACTGTACATTGGAAATAAGTACACAATAAAGTACACCCACACATAATTAAAAAAAATAATTCCTGCTAACCTGCAAAAACGAATTTAATGGTAATAATAATCACAAACATCACGAAAATTTGCATTTTCTTTAAAACGCGTGTTAGATAGAGAGGTTCACTTCCTGTTGCACAAGTGTTTGTAGTTTTATTGGTGCCCCTTGTAATGATTGTTTATCAGACCATAGCTTACAGCCCAGAGAACAACAACGCACATAACAGTAAGTAGATGCGCTGGTGTACACCTACATAAGTTGACACACCCTTCGTAATTAAAGTGATATTAAGACCTGACCCAGCAGAGGTCATGGTCACAATGTTCTCACTGCCGCGTGATTGGTCAAACCGGCGTCATGACCAGGTTAATTAAAAAACTAGCCTTCAGCCCGCACCTGATCAAACACATCTGTCTCGACACACCCAGATTATTCTTAATTAGTGACTGCATCTGCCGGCCTGACACCCCTCCAATATAAGGGGCCGACAGCTCCTTCCGGAAGACAGACAAGGAGAGTCTGAACCAAGAGGCATACGGAGTCACACTCGTCCAAGTCAATGCCGGGAAGGGGATTTCCCTCCCCGGTACCGAGTCCCCAGCTAGCAGAGTCTCCCATAGGAGACAGAACCCAGCACCTGCAGACAGAATCCCAAGCTGCTGGGCCTCCCTCAGGTCACGCGTGAGTCATTGTCAGAGTGATCCATAGGGTGAGTTACTTACGGTGGGAAGTGTATCCATTTCATGTTTGTGTCAGGGAGTCATTGTCGAGTAACGTCGAGAGGTTAATGTGTCTGTGTCATTCAGTCAACTAATAAATGGCTGTACTTAGAATCGGTTTTTAGAAAATTACCTCTTAAGAGTATAATACGGTTGAATAACTAATCGGCCACGCTACCAAGCGTTCCTCACTTTACAATCATAAGAACATAAGAATGGAGGAAACTGCAGCGGGCCTATTGGCCCATACTGGGCAGTCCCGTTTACACCCAACCCCTATTGCTCATATGAGCATCCAACCTATGTTTGAAGCAATTCAGCGTATTCGAGTTAATGATGATATTTGGTAACTTGTTCCATTCATCCACTATGTTTCCAAACCAGTGTTTACCTATATCACGCCTAAATCTAAATTTGTCGAATTTAAAACCATTGTTACGAGTTCGCTCCTGGTTGGATAGTTTGAGTACCTTTGTAATGTCCCCTTTGTTTAGCCCTGCCTTCCACTTACACACCTCTATCAGGTCGCCCCTCGCTCTACGTCTCTCAAGGGAGTGCAAATTAAGATGCTTTAACCTGTCTGACTGTCTCTATACTCAAGGTTCCTAATGCCCGGGATTAGTCTTGTCATTCTCCTCTGAATTCTTTCCAAGGATTCTGTATCCATTCTGTAATACGGTGACCAGAACTGAACTGCGTAATCTTACTTTACTTGTACTAAGTACTTTATCCTCATTACACCCTTAATTTACTCAACTTTGTCCGGTTTTGTGGGCAACTCTGTGGACACATTGTGAAGTTGTATTGTTCAAGGGTTTCCATCGTGTTTTTATGTTTACATTAATTTTATCCCCTTCGCCACTGATCGGCCATGCACTGGCACAAGTTTTGATTAAGTCTGATCTGGAAAAAGCTGACACTCGGTGCCGTCACAACACTTTTTGGTAGATTGTTCCAAAGAGTTCACAACTCTCACTCCGAAAAAGTTTGCCCTCACAAATTTCTGGACTTGCGTTTTCATCTATCTTGAGCTGTGTCCCCTTGTCCAGGTACAGACACTCGACGGAGTAGTGCCCTCTGAGATGTTTATTAACTTCAATTTGGTCACCCCTTGCCCGTCTATAGTATAAGCTAGGCAGTTGCATGAAGCAAACAACAACGGGCCCAGTTGAAGCTAGTTTGATTAAGGAATTAAAATCAATAAACCTTAGTGATGGTCAGTTCAAAACTGATAATATGTTACATAAATTTATTTGTCAGTGGCCCAAGGTTAAAAATGCTCTGAAAACCTTTGTAGGATAGTTATTTAGCGGGTCCCTTATTTTTGACCTGACCTGACTAGTCACGTCACCCCCTTCTCTTAAGCTCCTCTACGTGTGTGTTGGTGTGAGGATTAGTGGATGACATCATTATGACCTGACCTCATATTTAATAAGGTCACCCTGTATATTTAAGCCTCTCTCTGTCCATGTAATCCAGTTGCCTCTGAAGATGTCTTGAATAAAGACGAAAGCTAAGTTGCTCCGTTGTTTCCCTTTTCCCGTGTGATTTTATCAATATATAGATATATATATATATATATATATATATATATATATATATATATATATATATATATATATATATATATATATATCAGAGAGATAATGTACTGTATCTTGTGTGGGTTCAGTTTTAGTACAGGAGCAAACCGGAGTATTCGTCGATAACCATGTTTTGTGGCGTCCAACTGGCTAAGTGATTGATACTGGAGGGAACTGTTGTTTCTGCTGGGGGGGGAGTATCATAACTCACCTCTACTGGGGGAGGAACAGGGGATCTGCGTAACCTTGATCCTCCAGGAGCGTGGGAAGGTGGTGGTGGTGGTGGCGATGTTGACCCTGGCGGCCCCAGTACCGCTCGCCAGGTCCAAGTACACTGAAGGGGCAACAACCTCGTATGAAAACCTAACACATTGAACCAAGGTCTATAGAATACATTGAACTTATAGAACCCTGTGATAGCGATACTGTTAAAAACATGAGACATCGAATTATTTTTGACGCATGAGATATCTAACTTTTAAAAACCCGACACATTAAACTCTTTTCAAAACTTAAGATTAGATTAGGTTAGATAAAATCAAATAAGATTAGATTATAGTAGGTTAGATTTTATTAGGTTAGATAAGGTTAGGTTAGCGTTATGGTGTTTAGGTGAAATAAGCTAAGTTACTAATTTTTATGTGATCCCAATAACACTGAAAAATTCTGAAAAACCCTTTCTACCAACCCCAGCCCTGAGGTTCTTACTGTGTTGGCCCGTGTTGTCCCCACAGATGACGGTGGGGTTCGCGCCTCCCGTACCCACCACAGTAAAAGTGTCCTCACTACATTGGGTCGTGTTGTCGGGTCCTTGAATTCGCAGTGTCTCGAAGTCCAGTCGTAATTGACAGATGTTTTCGTTGGCCTGGAAAAGTGGAGTGGAGAGGTGACAGTCGGCAGAGAAGGTGGTAAGTAGTGAGTGAGAGGGAGGAAAAGTGGAGTGGAGAGGTGATAGTCGGCAGAGAAGGTGGTAAGTAGTGAGGGAGAGTGGAGGGGAGAGGTGATAGTCGGCAGAGTAAGGAGATGACGAGTAACGAGAGAGCGATCAGTAAGTGCGTGTGTGTGTGATGAGTGTTGGAGTTTAAAAGACGTTTGATACCGAATCACTGTAACATTTAATCATTGTACTACCTTATTGCTGTACCAATGTAAAGGACGAGAAGTAAACAATGTACCTTCTCTATGCTGTACTGGCAGTTGTCGATGGTCATGAAGGTGTCGGGGTAGGCGTCGTTCACTAGGTAGGAACAGTTCTGCGACACTGTTTCACCACACTTCTTCTGATCTGAGGGAGATACCGGTCAGCGACTATGAGGCATTGTATAGTTGTGTAGAGGTGTGTGTGTGGGTGGTATGTAGGTAAATCACTGTCAATTTACCTCTTCATATATATATATATATATATATATATATATATATATATATATATATATATATATATATATATATATATGTACTGTAGATACATACAAGCAAATTGCAAAATAATATAAACCTCTACTATTTTTTTTCTTGCGTCAACAAAACGATAGTTTTCGGAAAACTTACAAGACTACCACTGCATCTCTGGTAGTCACTTTACCTTGACAACTGTAAAAGTCTGAAGACTACAATTATTTAAAAAAAATGTTTTACTCCATTCGGCATATTTTTTGTATTTTATTATCTAAGTACTTACAAATATATTCAATTTCTGAATTTAAAATAGCAAATTAATTTATACATTCGTAAGTCACAGAATATTTGTAGTATTTTACACAGGGAGATCATTTACAGGGTTCCATTTTTTCTATGATTACGTACAACTGATACTGTCCATGACAATACAACACTCACACACACAACAGACGCCATAACCGTTCGCACAGGTTCCGTCAGCTCGGCCACCCTGGCTGGTACAGTCCTTCCTGGAAGTACAAGTGCCAGTCGAATTGTCCGACTTTGAAGAACAAGCTTTGGGTTGAACCTTCACTGTCACGAATGGCAGGAACTGCAGGTTTAAAACTGGGGAAATAAATCGTGATTAAATATCGATATGCATCTCGTATTCATAAATGATTCACATCATTTGAGTAAATGAAAATGTAGCCTTTTCCACTACGATGACTTCATCTAACAGGATATTAGCAAAAACTAGGGATCATATGAAGAACCCCCCCCCCCCGAGCAGTCGGGGGGGGGGGTTCTTCATGTGAACGAGTCTAGGGTGGATATTCTTCACACGATCACTGGGAACACAACAGGTGGCCAAGACCTCACCAGTAGGTTAGGTTTTGTTCTTCATTCATACCTGCAAGAATTTATGTGGCGTGACCGATTTTATAATAATGCTAATGAGAATCTATGTACTCATATTTCTCTTCAGTACCCTCTGTGATGACAAGTTTAATAAACTATTCTGCATATGTAACATAAATAACAAAAATTAAAGAAGGAAAACAATGCATCACTGAAATAAAGGGGGATATTCCTCACATGGGAACTTGTGGGGGAGGGATTCTTCAGTTGGCAACATTGGGGTGGGGGGATTCTTCATATGATCCAAAACTAGTTGACGAACTGTTATAATTATGAAACAAGAGACCGGAGCTTACATTTCCCGTCCCTCACGCCGTGCACAGAACTCTGGGTTGTTGAGGGAGACGCCACGATGATGATGTTGAGCAGGGTCGACACTACCACCGTCACCGCCACCGCTGTCATCATCTCCATGTTCCTCGGTATCATCCTGACGTTAAGGAGACATGTAACTCATTGTAAAGTAGCTGTTAACTAAAAATAAGATAATTAAGTGTACCCAGTATCTTGTTATACACAGGCCCATAAGCAGCAACGTGATATCGGTATGGCGAATACTGAAGCTAGAAGTAGGACCACTTTATTGATGATGTGATTAAAGGGATCATTAAATATGCATATAACTGGTGAAATTTACTTCGTGCTAATGATATAAAGTAATAAAACAAATATTCCAATGCCGTGATCAGGGCAGGATTGTTTTGTCAGCGAAGATTCCCGTGTAAAATCATCCGAAATGTAGTCAAAACAGTTAACAAATACTGAATATCTTTATTGTTGCGTTTTTGTATAAACCGAGTCTTTATCAGAAGTATTGATAAAAATAAGGCATATTTTTATGTTTCCCCTCGTTTTAAAAACGCGATTCATTCGTTACAAAACTATATAAAAACCGCAAAACTATATAAAAACCGCGTACCTTGCTACGGCCCTTGTACAGCTATTCACAGAAACCATAACATGCAAACTAATTTTAGAGAGACATCATAATTTCATTAGTTATCTTATCTTGTACATAAAGTGACTTTAATGAACATGCATATTTAAGACCTTAGTTGTTGAAACATATGGCTTGGTAATTTTTTTTACGGGATTAGCCCACCCGGGCACAGGTCACTGACCCACATCGGGGCCTGGGGGGGTGTAATGATAATAATAAAGAGCCACAAAGAAATAAAAAAAAAAATAAAATAAAAGTGAGAAACAATATATGTATGTTGTATTGTCAATGGTAAGAGAAACAATTGAGACCCTGCAATTGTGTGTAAATGAGGCAGAGTCAGATGAGCAACCTGGGAGTTGGTCACATTTTCGTGATGCCATATGGCAGCAGGGTCTACCATTAGCCAATACATTATGCTTCCGATATCTTCCCAGGCGGTAGTACTGTACCTCCCTGTTTGGTAGCTGCCTGCTACCAAAGGAGGAAATTATATAATTCTTGATCTTTATTTATTGACGCATATTATATGAACTGTGCTGGATCATGTATAAAACATTGTTTTCGACGGCCCACAGTTTAATAAATAGACATTGTAAATAAAGTGATGTATAATTTTATAGGTAGGTATTTCCATGTAAGAGGGCGTTATTTTCTTATTAATGACGCTCAGATATTACGTTTCTCTTTTCTTTAAGTTATGTAACCACATGTGATATATATAGACAGCATTAAACCCTTACCTAATAATTTATATAGCCATCTTATACTTGTGCTAATACGTCAGTCAAGTTCTTCCCCTTGTTCAGATGCTAAAACAAAATTAGTAATCCATCGCACATGATTTGTCAACTTATTATTGAACATCTATATTTATTGGCGTCAAGACGAGGAATAGGAATGTAAGAACTGAGAATCATAAAGCATACGAATTAATTATTTAAATTCCTGCAGTAGTAAATCATGTCAACTGTGCTTACCTTCAATTTGGTAGGTTCGTATTCCTCACTGTTTACGGTGCCACTTTTTATAACTGTTTACTCACCTTTTCAATATACCACGTTTATAACACTTTTTATAGGCGGTTTTCTGGTTTCGGGCTCTGACTGCGATCTCGCAATGCAGTAAACTAAGATTTATTAATTTCAGTTCTCCAGAAAAATAAAATGTAACAGTAAACAACAGAGTAGAGATCTCTGGTTCAACTTCTTAGAACTTGCTGTTTGTTGTAAAGGGTCTTTTAGCAGCTGTTGATGTTGGTTGTAGATTATTGACATCCAGGTTTCAGTGTTACTCCTGGGAAGAGTGAACAACTTGTAGCACTGTTGATAAAGATGTACTCGACTGATGGAGACGCTGTGGGTGTTGTTTTATATACCCACAGGGAGGAGTCCCTGGGTGCTGGGGTGAGATACAATAATTATCTTAATTGTTTTAATTGTGAAAAGAGAAAACTTAATGGGCTTGGTGTTTCGTACACGAGGGTCATACATACTCATACACATCTGTAGGTGCGCGTGATCCATGTACATGCTGGTTACCTGGTAACTATATGTGTGCGTGTGTAATAATATTAATAATAGTAATAATAAGGTGCAACTATAACGTGTGGTCTACAAGGATATCTTTAATCTAACCTAACCTTATCTATCCCTATCTGCCTTAACGTAGCCTTAATATCTTGTAGACCGCACTCTGTAGTAACACCCCTCTACTTATATTCATATTTTTCCTTTCTATTGACCGAATTAATGCTGATTCAAAAACATTTATGTTTACAAAATAATTACATTTAATGACTGAAGAGGCTTTCGGCCAATCAATGGGGTGGCAGTTTTCATTTATGTGGAGAAATAAATCATTTGATGTTTGACCTGTTCTCACTGCATATTTATATTGACTTACTCTTGATTTCAAGAGTTTTCCTGTCTGTCCAATATAAAAAGAGTTACATTCCTTACAGGGAATTGTGTGTATGGCACTTATCATTGGAGGGACTATTCTTAATTAAAAGCTTTTTTCACAGAGTTTTCATAGGAAAAGACTGCTTTCACATCCAGCAATTTTAACAAAGACTGTGATTTGGCAGACAAAATATTTCTGGGAGGTATTTTATTATGTACATTGTTATCATAGCAAATCTTTCTTGCTTTTATCTTATATTTGTTTAGAACATGAGAAGGGTAACATAGTTTCTTACCTAATGTATCAATTCTTTCATATTCATCTTCGATAAATTCAGGGTTAGATACATAGAGGAGAATATTGACTGTTGGATATGGAAACTGTGATCTGAGTGAAAAGGCACTTAAATCAAATTAGTAGTTGGCTCTCTGAAAATGCTAAACTGTACTTGTAATCATTATCCGTTCTGTGAATCATTACTTCCAAAAATGGTAGTTTCCCATCTTCTTTAATCTCTTAGTGAATTTGATAGATGGCACCTGTTCATTCAGTTTACCTATAAATTCATTTGCATCTAGATTATTAGGCCAAATCTAGATGTACCGCCCTAAAAATGTTTTGTCTGGGCATGCGCAGTTCGATCAAAAAAATCATTTGAAGGCTTAAGGTGTGCTAATATTAACCCTCGGAATAAAGGGTTAGGTTAGGTTAGATTTTGATCGAACTGCGCTTGCCAATAAAATTTTCAGCACGGTACAATCTCAGCCCACTACAAGGAAAATTTCGAGGAGCATCTAAACTATCATTTTAATAACACGAAAAATTACTTCTTGGAAATCTCGAGTTACTAGAAGTAGGCTACATTCTTAAGGACGTGACTTATATCAAACATTTTTCTTTGTACGGTGAAGGAAAACGGAAATTAATTCTGAGTGTGGTGCATGACATCCGGATTACGACAAGGGGTACTGTATGCTTCCTTTGACCTCAGTGTTTAGGCCGAATCATAGTATATTTTTGTGTGTATCATTCTCCACTTATCAGGCTACCAGTTTTTCTAGCTGGACAGGTCTGGACTGGATTACATTTTAAGACCTTTATTGCCCAGTGTTAGTACAAGAGGAAACCTGCCGAGTTTCGTAGGGTCACATTGGATAACGCCCTTGCATCTGTCTTTGGCCGGGGATTATAGTTAGAGCATGTGCCCCTTATCCCTTAATTTTTTGGTCAGATTATGATGTGAACGCATCTACTGTAGTTAATGTTGGGTCTCATCAGTATGCTTCTGAAGCTATTTCTTGGAGTTATTTTTGTTCATTCGTACATCGTACAAATCTATGTAAATCTGTTCTGAGATTTACTGGGAAAATCATCGTACAAGATTTAAACTCAGTAAATCTCACTCTTGAGGTGAAGATATAACATTTAGGCACCGTTCGCACAAGCCATCACGTGATATCCTGCAGATTTAACTGATATATGTACTTAGTTCATAGCGGGAGTAGGCCGAGGTTCAAATACTATACAGTGGTGATTTTAACAAGATGGGGGGGGGGTGGGGGGGACAAGGCGTATGGACTGGCCTGATCTGTTAAGAAATAATAATTGCGCGTGTGAATTTTAGTTCAAGCGTTCGAACTTGACATTGCAGTGATTTCTATGCTTATAGACACTGCAAATGTTTGATTTACACACGTCCCCAAACAGTATCATGTTAATATTAAGCTCCTGCTTAGACCTACTAACACATGTCTTGTTTTCGTACAGTATTCCATCACAAACTTTTGACAATGATAAGAATCACCTGAAAAATCGGGTGATGTATCGAACACCTGGAAATTGGTATAATTTTAGAATATGTGACCCGAGTCCAGAGAACACAGGAAAGTGCAGTATAAACACAAAAAAGTACCCTGCCCTACTTTGTTATTGTACCACTGTTTGAAGTACAGTGATGCAGTGTAGATAACAAAACAAATGACGTAACTTCTCGGCCTTCGGGAGGCGTCGTAAACGAAATCCTCATCACTTGCAGGTCTACGCTAACACAGACAAAAACATTGCTTCATGTGGTCTTGATTTGGTTTACAAAATATGTGAACTTTCGGCTAGCCTTCTGGACACCCTATGTAATGTATATATAATACTGTATATCACACTAAAAAGTGAACGCTGAATGTTCCTTGCGGCTAAAGATATGTGAATGCACTTTACTGGTTAATAATGAAGAAAGAGAAATATGTCCAGATGTAACGTAAAAATTATACTTACAACTTTCGTTCACTTAACACTAGTTAGGGGACAATAGAGTGAATATTTAGAAAAAATGTACTGTACAGTGCTCTATTTTCCTTTAACATTTCAAGTTATAATAATTCTCTGTATACTTTTGAATTTAATTATGGAAGTAATCTTTGCATCTTATGTATTTAGTTGTGAATAATATTGCTTGGTGCAATATCAAGGGAGAGGGAGTTGTGGGCGGAACTGATTATATTGCCAGCTACTCGATACCAGCGTGAAATTATTCCTAAAATCTTAAAATTTGCAGGACATATTATCTTCCTTGTCACCAAAACTTGTACTACCAATAAGATGTGAATATTCATATGTATATGCCGTGATTTAAACAGCTGACTGTGTTCAATATTGATACAACAGATGAGTTTGTTGCAAAGTTGCTATGAGGAAAAATTTAAATAAACATACTCGAGGACACTGTAACCGGATTCTTTTCTCGCGCAACTTACATGTGTGCCAACTGTCTATTCTGAAGACAACTTTTATTTTTATATCAGTGTTTGAGACGAGAAGCTAGTGTTTTAATTACTCATGTTTAGGTCTCTACAGGTCACCTTGATATGCCAATTTCCTGTCCAGTCGTCTCATGAAGGTCATCCATCATGTTTGGATAGTCTTGTAAAGTTTACTATAATAGTAATATTGTAGACGAAGACTCCACCTCTCTAGTCAATGTCTTCAACTACCTCTCTCTGAAGTTACTTAATCTCATTCAGGGTGAGGTATACGTGACTACCACATTTAGGGTGCTATTGCAGGCTGGTGACCGGATTAAAAATGCACACACACGTACACACACACACAACGGGCGAGTCATACATGTTCACTTTCCCAAAATTTGTTTATTTTTTTGTAGTTGACGCATATAATGATGTGATCACTTGGTAGGAAGTTTTGTCTCAGCTTGGTGTGTGGACGTATGTGTTGAACTGATGAAGCCTTATGATCTCTAATATTAATGCTACTCGGGGTGGTCTCCATCATATCATCACGTATCCTGCTGTATGTCCTAAATGGGATCTTCACCTTCCTCAGGCCTTCATAACTCAGTTCTTCAGCTCGGGGATCGTTGCCCTCCTTTGAACAGTCTCAATTGATATTGATATTTAGTCAGAAAAATACAAATATAGAGTGGGCAATAAGAACAGTGTTGACAAGGCTGAGCCAATTGAGAGCCTGAGCCCTCTTAGTGGCACCTGATATACAGTATATATATATAGTACATTTATTTCAAGGACATATTATAATAACATTTAGCATCATCTGGATTAGTACACGTAACATTTTGTGTGGATGTCTTTCATCTTGTGAGGACATGTTGTTATAGTACAGTTGTCACACCTGGACGACATGTTATAGTACAGTTGTCACACCAGGTTCTTGAATCAACACCTGTAGTTTTCTACCTGTAAGTGATGGCTGGGCCACACCATCTTGTTAACTTTATCCTTTAAACGATTTTCAGACGTAATTTATATGAATATCTTCTGAATATGTGGGAACGTCATGGTATCGTCAACAAGGATACATACTTTAGAGGACACAGTCAGAAAGTCACTAATGTCTGTGATGAAGAGTGTCGGTTCCAACACACTGCCCTGAGGGACGCCATTTGACACAACGTATCTCACCAGAATCCATCTACATTATTATTATTTTCTTTTTAAGTCAGGAGTGAATGGTGCTCGGCTCGCCAGTACCCAGTTTTGATGTAAAAATACAGTACCAGTCGTCAGAATCAACACCAGATATGTCGCGTCCTGTAGTATGCATGTATTGTGCGCATATATTTGTGTTAGATTAAAGTGTTTGCGGAATTACACACACACACATAGATATTTGTGTTAAATATAGACAGAGCCAAAGAGAGAGACAGAGAAGCCTGCTTTTGTCATCTCAGTACTCAACAAGACGTCATCAGTGAGTGATGTTGACATGAGCGGTAATAAGGGGCGTATCTTAATTCTCGTGTCCGGGTGAAAGTGGTGAAAGCAGGTGATCCACTAAACTGTTTTTGTCCCAGTCATTACCTACAAACTACCGCTAACACTCAAGAAACTCGAGGACTGTGTTGATGTCCGCGAGGGAGGCCTGTGTAGGAGAATCCTTTAGTTTCTTTTTACGCAGTACGTCAGTACCACTCAAGTCTCTTATCCTTGGTACAGTTGCGGAAATATGTTCCTACACCCCCCGTGTTAACCCGTGTCTCCAAACAGCAACGTCGCAGTAGTAGTATCACTATGAACGAATGGACCACATGGGTAGTGGTCGTGTAACGACGGACGTGTTTGGTAGATGGGTTTGCTATAGGTTACATAGGTTGGCCGTTTGGAGACACGGGTTACCATGGGGGGTGAAGGAACACATTTCCGCAAATGTACCACCGTCATGATGGCGTCGTGACGTCACGTGCATCAATGGCGTGTGACGTCATCAGTGTGGAGTATGAAGAAGCGTAAGATAGATACCTCCTCGTAACTGCCAATAGTAGAAGGTATCCATCATGATCTTTAATTTTGTGTCGTAGCTTAAGTGAGTTAATTCGATGAGTTGTCACGTGACCATCAGAGTAAAGTGGTACGATCGAGTGAAAATGTAAATGTAATGTTGATATATCTACGAAATAATTGTCGTAATTTCCGGCATGGCCTCTTTATCTCTCCCGAAGGTATTTAGAGTGGTGTATTTGTTAGGTTAATTGGTCGTCTTGCTGTGAGTCGTCGTTGGGTGCTAGGCCGTGACGTTATTCATGTCTCGCTCTGTTTGTCGGTAAAATTTGCCGAGTTTGCCATTCCTTCTCCTTTTCCCTCCGTTTTTGTTCCTCATTCCGAGAACTACAACTTCTCGCATTTTTTTTCCGAAGCCGATCACTCCCACACAAGATGGGCAGGGATTTGGTGGTCGATATTCCCAGTCAAAGATTGCATGTCATAAAATCTTATATTTTATTCAGCATGTACGTGTACATACACAATGCAAGTATACATTGTACAAAGACAGTACAAGTTTACAATTTACATATCCAGTGCAGATATATAATGTTTATAAACAGTACAATTATACAATGTACAGTACTATAGACAGAACAGGTGTTTCCCTGTCAAGAGTACTGTCATCCTGTCTGGTCTTTGAGATATGCTAAAGACTGTCAGTTGATTGAAAATTACCAAAGGATGGCCTGCACTACGCCACCTCAGTTACCCAGAGATGTTAGAACGCCTGCAAATGCCTAACTTATACTGTAGACGGGCAAGGGGCGACTAATCGAAGTGTATAAACTTCTCAGGGGGCACTACTGGGTCGAGTGTCCATACCTAGAGCTGGTGGACGTCCGCCCCACAAGGGGTCACAGTTCAAGGTTGAAGAAGCCACAAATCCATAAAACTGTGAAGGGAAACTTTTTTGGAGTGAGAGTTGTGAACTCTTGGAACAATCTGCTGAAGAGCGTTGTGACGGCAACGAGTGTGAGCTGTTTCAAGACAAGACTTGACCAACACTGGAGCAGGTTCAGGTACATTCAGGAGCCGGTGCATGCCCAGTACTTGCCAACAGTGCGTAACAGAGACGTGACCGATCGCCCAAGCGGCTAACGAGCCGATTAGTGGTGAAGAGGATAAAAGCGACCTAACCCAATCCCCCAGTAGCGTTTGGGTGTTCGTTAATCTGTTAAAATAAATTGAGGTTTCTAATCTTCAGGTGGTCTACTTTGTTCGTGAATAAATGCGTGTGTGAACTCCCCGTGATCAATTCTGACACCCTTATGTTGCCCTCTGCCATTTGGAAAGTTTTAAGGTAAGTAAACTTTTGTAACTACAGAAGTCTTACTGTACATAATGTTTTTTGCTGCCGACTAACTTCGTACATATAACACGTGAAAAAAGAACACACTATAATTCAACATATCTAAGCGATTATCTGTGATAATGATATAGAAATTCCTTATCCAAAGTCGGAATCATATTTTGTCATACTACAATGTTAGGTATTTTACATCTTATTTTTAATCTTAGTACATGAATCGGACAAAAGTGATATCTTTGAATGTTGCCACTTCATGTTTGTGTGTATTTATTATTTTTGTTTAAAAATATTTAATCAAATTACTCTGTTGATATCTCAGTTATATATATAATACAACAACATTTGTTTCGCCTTTATGGCTACACGCCCGACAAAGGGTTAAATAACATACCATCAGTTTGTTTTGGTTGGTACCAGACAGGGTCCCCCAGTATTACCACCACCCACACTACACGCACCACAAAGCATTTGGTAAAACCCGTGATGAAAAATTTATCCGGCACAGTTGTTTTCCTTCTCTGATTGAAGTCTTAAGAATTTTTAACTGTTGCTAAGCATGGCATTTTTATGTTTTTTGTTGTTTTTACTTAAAAATAATTGGCAGTACTGTACATATTCTGCTACGAGCTGCTACCACGATGACACGTAATTTTACCTTACTTTTTACTTGTTTTTTTTTTATCCTCTTCACCACTGATCGGCTCGTTAGCCTCTTGGACGGTTGGTCACGTCTCTGTTACGCACCGTTGGCAAATGGTGGGCGTGTATTGGCTCCTGAATGTAACTGAACCTTCTCCAGTGTCTTTATAAACCAATCTAACCTACCTGATTTAACTTATTAATTTCAGAATATACTTTGGTTAGGGAAGTTTGGTTTGATATGGATTAGTTGTTTCGTATTTGTAAAATAACGTGGTAATTGTGTGAATATTATTACTGGAGCTATGAGTTTGCTTAAACGATTTTTACTTCCTGATTTTCTATACTAGTTGTGGTTATCAATGTAACAATTATGGGTTAAACTGTATACAGTATATGTCACATTTTGACTGCCGTCTATAGTACAAAATACGGATCACTTGAAGATTGGCCCTCATTTCACTTTAACTTAACTAAATTTAACATAACCTAACTTAACCTAATCTAAGCTAACACCCCTACAGTGAGGGTGTTTAATCATCAGGTGAAATAAGCTGGGGACTAAACTACAAGTGATCCCAACGTTTCAACACGTCATTTAAAAACTTGTGAAAATCGACTTACTGTTTATCCTGCATGCTAGTGATATATCTATTACAATAAATTAGGATCACATAAACGGGCGAATATTTGGGCACATTGGGCTGATGTTTTGTGCCAGAATAAACGTTTAGTTATAAAATAGACCGTATGAGGAGATTCAGATCGGATGTGGATTTTAGGCAGCAGAAGAAAGAGATAAGAGGTATCAGCTATCAAGGTCGGGCGAGGTAGGTAGCGGAGTTGGCATCAGTGGACCGGACGACCTGCTGAGTGCCGACCGACCTCTAATACGCAGTCGTACTGGATCCTTGTGAAGGTAGGTTGTGTTTCACCTTTCCTAGTTGTAGTTGAACCAAACCTACTACTACATTGGTCTTAAGGCATTTATATGTGGAAATTTGGTGAATGAACATTGTTATGGAAATGTTTTTTTTCTGGCACAAAGCGTTGATTCAGCGATGTAATTTTTCTACTTTTTTATTTTCGCGACCTTGGTGTGGTGAAGAAGCTATTTGATGTCATGGATTAGACATGAACTTAGTTACACTGCGCTTCAAATCCGAGATATTGGTTACAATTGTGTTAAACTTTCATAAAGAATCCTAATTTGTTATATAAGGGTGCTAGATTTCTCAAAGCATACGTACGTACTTTTATCGTGAACCAGTTGCAACTTATCGCTTGGTATGTCTACTAATTTATGGAATTACATATTTTACTAAAATCCTTGAACCCTGTGAACGTGTGGTGTTGGTTCAGGAAAATAATGGTTATCAGTTTTGGACGATACGAGGTGCACGTAATATCCTCATGCAGTCACAAAAAACGAAACTCCAATGTCGTAAATCAAGGGGGATATTTTGCTCCTCCGATTTTCAGCTAGGAGGGATTATTTATGTAATAATTCAACATTTTCTTCGCAATGAAGAGAATTTGAAGGGCAGTAGATAGTAGGAACAGAGGTGTAAAGTACCGTAGGTAGCATCACAGTTTGGTTAAGTTAAGTCTTTTTAAGTCAGACCAAGACCACGAAACTAATTTACACAAAAAACGATTTATATTTTGTTTATTAGGCATACGTAACCTGGCCTAATCTAATCTAACTGGGGAGCTTCAGACCACTATATCATCACAACATTCATTGGCAGATTATTCCAAGAGTTCACAATCCTTACTCCAAAGGAATTGCCGCTAACAAATTAATGTATTTGTGGCTTCTTTAACTTTAGGCTGTGACCTTAGGGGACAGCTGCGGATATGAGTATTTCACTGGATAATGTCATTTGAAGTGATTATAAACTTCTGTTAAACCACCTCTTGCCTGTCTACAGTATAAATTAGGCAGTTTAAGGCATTCTAACGTCTCTTGGTATGTGAGATGCTTAAGTGCCACTACCAGTTTAGTTGCCATCCTTTGGATATTCTAAATCAGTTGGCAATCTGTATTATATCTCTAGGATCAAACAGAATTATAGTGGTTGAGCATGACTATTGAATAGTCTTATGAGGGATAGATCATCTTATTTACCTAATGCACTACCCACTAGAGGTGGCCATACATAAGAATATAAGGAGTCTGCAATAGGCCGGTTGGCCTGTGCTTGGCAGCTCCTGTCTAGAGTTACTACCACTCTATCATCCATGAATCTATCTAGCCTCCTTTTAAAACTTTCCAGCACTTACTACAAAGTTGCTAAGCTTGTTCCACTCGTCAACCAGATCCTTCCTATCTCCCTCCTAAACCTAAATTTATCCAACTTAAATCCCTTGCTACGAGTTCTAGCCTGCCCGGATATTATAAGAACTTTATCTATATCTCCTTTATTGATTCCTGTCACCCACTTAAATACTTCTATCTTATCTCTCTGCACTCTTTGTGTTTCTAGTGAATGCAAGTTTAGTTTCTTCAATATATCCTGATATGGAAGGTTTCTAAGTCCCGGAATCATTTTCGTCATTCTTCGCTGAACAGCATAATCGAGGTGTGGCCTGACTAGCGCAAGATGTAGTTGCAATATGACCTCTGCACTCTTATTACTTACACTTCTAGATATAAGACCTAATACTCTGTTTGCCTTATTTCAAACATTAACGCACTGTTTTCTAGACCGTAGGTTCGGGCTTACAAGTACCCCTAAGTCTCTTTCACAAGTCGACTTCTCTAGGTTGATGTTGACAATGTTTGTTCTTCTAATATTAAGTACGCTGCACTTGCTGGTGTTGAATTTCGTTTGCCATTTTTCTGACCACTCCTGCAGTTTATTTAAATCTTCCTGTATGGCATTTGCATCCTTCCCTGAATTAATCTGCCGCCCTATTTTGGTATCATCCTCAAACTTGCTTATGTCACTGCTGATCCCAGTATCTAGATCGCTTATGTAGATTATGAACAAGAGTGGGCCCAGTACTGACACCTGGGGAACCCCACTGTTTACACAGCCCCACTCAGATTTAACACCATCTACGCTGATCCTATGTGTTCTATCAGTGAGCCATGATTTTATCCAATTTAAAACCAATGTTAGGAGGTCAGTGGTCTGTGTAGGATCCCTTTATTGTACCTGTACTTGATAATTTGTCAAGGGTTATTTTGATGCACAGTACAGTATTCCCTTAAAGCTCGCTGGGGTTAGGTAAAATGGACCTCTTGAGAAAGCAAAATCCGTGAGTTTTTCGTGCCAGTCCTAGCAGTGTGCAAAATACATATATAAATAGCTATATGCACATGTATAACAACATTAGGTATGCATAAGACAATATAATAAATATGAAATAACATAAATAAATAAACAAACATGAAAAAACACTGTATGGACATTAGGTCCACACAGTCATAGTTGTGGTACCTGTAGTGAGAAACATAATAGCATATAGCCAGTGATTTGGCTTTGCCAGTACAGTAAGCTATTAAATCTGCAAAGAAAATTTTTTAAAAATATACCTTGCTATTTATAGGGTGCATCTTATAACCTGGGAAATATGGTGCTCTGTACTGTCCTGTAGTGTTGACTCCTCTTGAGCCTTGGCACACAGCCTCAGATTTATTCTATTTATTTTCCAAGGCAATCTGTGAGCTTCCGAGGGATGCAAACTTTAAAACCTCGAGCTTAAGGGAATACTGTACTTTTTACTTTTATCCTCCTCGCCACTGATCGACTCGCTAGCCACTTGGGCGGTCGGTCATGTCGCTGTTACATACTGTTCGCAAGTACTGGGCATGCCCTGTTTCTTCAATGTATATGTACCTGCACTAGTGTTGCTCGAGTCTGTTTTTAAAAGAGCTCACATTCAGTGCCGTCACAACATTCTGACCTATGTTCCAAGAGTTCATAATTCTCACTCCAAAAATGTTTGCCCTCACAGTTTCCTGGACTTGTCACTTCTTGAACATTGAGGTGTGACCCCTTGTGAGGTGGGCATCCACCAGCTCCAGGTATGGACACTCGACTGAAGAATGCCTCTAGATGTTTATAAACTTCAATTATGTCACCCATTGCCCGTCTATTTTATAAGCTAGGCAGTTGCAGGCATTCTAATCTCTGGGTAACAGAGGATGATTAAGTACAATATTGCATCATCCATGATTCCATGTTATAGTCACACACACCCCTTCACCACCGCAACCATGGGTCTGTCAGTCATGGAGCATTTTATATGGTCCAATAAAACTTACAATGTTTCCATTTTGTGCAACAAAGTTCATTTCCACCAATGTGAGTTTTTGAAGATACTATACTGTTTTTCCACACATTTCCAAAATAATTATGGGCTAGTGGATTTGAATATTTACTAGCCCTGTGGTCTAGAGGAAGATTTTGAGTTAAATAGACCTGATAGACAGTACTGTATACTGTACATGTATATACACTGGTACTATATAATGACCCTTATTAGCATTCTCCTCTCCAGGAATGCATCCCAAGTGCTGAGAGGGTATTATTGTATTCCTGATGAGGGTGTATGAGTGATTTATTGTGCTGAAACGGCATTTTTTTATTTATTTTTTATTAATGGACTATGTTTTACACTAGCATACTGTTACTGTTACGATAAGTGGTATGAAATCTATACGCCTTTGTAAAATTTTCAGCTTTTCTATTTAAAATTTATTTTAAAAATTATTATTAATTCAACCTTTTTTATTTCCTCATGTTTGTAGTTCTCGGTTAACTACACAATACACATGCCAGTGTAATTTTCTTTTTATAATATTTTTACTCTATTCACAGACATCTGTATAATGCAGTACAGTATTCCTGCAATGTTTTATAATGGAGTTTTGCATTTTTTCTGCATTGAAATTTTAAATTATATTCACTTGGTTTTTCTGATATTCTTGTAAAATACAATAGTACTGTACTGAATTTTTCTTCTAGTACTGTAAGGAGTCAAGGATTTATTTGCAAAACTTATTTAATTAAAGTTTGGGTGTCAGTGGTACTGTGGTAGCATGCTTGCCTTTCACCACTGATTTTAGTTCATTACTCACTTTGATTGGTTGAGACCAGCTTGTCCTAACCAATAGAGTTATCTATTATAAATATATCAATCATTCAAACTAAGAAAGTGAGACTACCATTGATAAGGAAGGTATGGTAGTTGAAGTTGGTTGAGTTATGACACCTAATTTTACTAAAATATAAATGTTAAATACAATTCTTGTAAGAATTTCAGGATATGCAACAGACTTATTGTTTCCATTATGCCAACAGACAAAATGAAAGTGAATAATTCTGAGGGGATTGATAACATGGGCCAAGAAGAATATGAGAATGTCTCCAACCTCGCCTCATCTTTGGGTAGGCTGTCTCTCCACCTCAAAGACAATGACCTACCAGAAGTGGAGCACTCCCTTGCAAAGATCTCCTTACATGGGCAGGATGAGGAGGATAGCCCCCAAGAAAGCCAGGTTAGTTTATTCATTACTGTAGTTCAAGATGAAATTTATTGAAAAGTTTAAAGGACAATGGTAAGTAAATTGTGTTAAATTGTACTGCTGGACAAGTTTTGTTTCTAAAATACCGTAGTAGGCTTACTCTTACTTCATGATGGGTTTAGGCCAAAAACAAAAATTATGTGTTTCCGGCAACCAGTCACCATCTAAAGAATTGTGGACAACACTAATAATTTTATTTAATAATTTGAAAATACCTGGTAAAGTATTTTTACCCTTTTGTGAAGATCTTTGTTTTTAATGCTCCATCCTCTGTTACCTCTAATTAACATCAGGAAATATTACTGGTGAAAAAGGCACAAGCACATCAGTCTACAGTATTTGGACATGTACGGTAGTCATGATAGAGGCTGGGAAAATCTGATTTACCCAACCTTATTTTTTCAGCCTGTTAGAGTACCAGAAACAATGATTATGATCTTTAACCACTTGTGTATGGGATTTATATGCAACCCCATTAATGAAGGGGTTAAGGTCTAATCGGTATGTGTCACATAATGTCTTTCCACATATAGGACTTTCTCAACTGTTCTGTAGTGTCAGTGCCAACATTTAAGGATTTTCACTGACATCTTAAATTTTCCCCCAAAATGATTCAATTTCTTCTGATATAGCTAACTTTCCCAGCATGCATAATTTTCCCAAACACTTAGCTTTCCCTATTGTACCTAACTTTCCCCAACATGCTCAACTTTCCCTAATCCATTTAACTTCCCTAACACACGTAACTTTCTCCAACAAGCTGTCTCTCTCCATAGTACCTTATCCTTCATTCCTGGTTGCCTGTTTTAACTACAGTATTTGTTCTTGTCCAATTAGGTGGGTGTGTCTTGTAAGACAAATGCTGTAACTATAGGAAAAATCTACGTAGTCACAAACTGCTTCACTCATCTTCTGTTAAATACCAAAGAACATTAATATATTACTGAAAAAATCCTCCAAATCCCACAGCTAGGTCGGCTCACTATGCTTGCCATGTAGTCCCACCCACAATTTCTTGGATTTCCCCTCTTTTGACATTCCTGGAGCCGTCCCTGAATATTAACATTACTGTTGGGTTAAGTAGGATATAACTGCAGAAAACTACCTAATTCGTAATGCGTCCCATGACTTAGGAAAGGTTGCCCATGCCTGCTTTAACCCCTTGTGCACAGGGTCCCCTCTGAGCTGTATAAAATCATCGGGCATTAGCCAAGTAAAATATTAAAAGTGGCATCCCCATAGTGAAGGGGTTAAGGAGTGGTGTTGCGCTTTGATATTTTTTTCTGGCGAACGACTGATGATTTTATTCAGCTGCAAGAAATCCCTACCACTCGTTAGGTTAACTTTCCTTAATACAAGTCAATTTTCCACCAAAAAGTTTAATTCTGTATGGTCAGTTTTATATTATTTTCTGAAAATCATCTTAAGGCACTTCATGAATTTGGACAGATTTCCCTGCTACTGGCAAAATCAAAACTAAAACTTAAAAAGAGTTCTTCGCACTTTGCATTTATAATATGATTTTTTCCAAAGTTAATATTCTATTTATCATTTCACCACTTATCAGCTTACTATCTTTTGCGTAATTGGTCTTTTCTTTGTTATGACTTTTGTCCAGGAGGAACAGGGGTACACAGAAAAAAAAACTTGCAATACTTGGTAGGGTCACATTGGATAACACCCAGCTCACATTTGTCCAGGACCAGGGATTGAACCCAGGACACAGTAGTTAAAGATATATGTGCTTTACCATTGTATACCACCAACACCCTTGTGAAAAAGGAGTTTTTTTTAAAAAGTTTGCATATAATTCTTGCTCTTTTCAGAATGAAGAGGAACAGGAGGATAAGGAACCCATAGATTTAGTACAGCACACATCTCCTAGTCATGAAGAAGAAAATGACGGAAACAAGAAGAGTGAAGACAAGGTGAAGGAAGTTTGTTCAGATAAGATGAGTCAGGAAGAGAGCACGATAAAGGTAGAAGAAGATCTGAGCCATGATGAGGAAAAGGACATCACTGTCCCTACCAGAGATGCAACTCTTAGAATAAAGGTTAGTTTGGTGAACAGTAGTGCAAGAGTTTTTCCCAAGGAAAAATAATTCTTATACATTTTGTCAAGTTTTGTTCTGGAAATTTATGGTTAAGCTTACCTGTGTGTCTGTTGTAGGATGATACACTGCACACACAACATGATGCCTTACATAGGATGATACAGGTATGGGATCATTTATCTGGTTTGTTTGAGACTTAGGGGTTGCTGGATAGGGGGTTTATCTGGAACTTGGAGCACCAAACCTAAAATGTACAAAATTTAGAGTAAATCCTCTGTAACTGGCTATGAAGACTGTTCAGATCACTAGATTTGCTTCTAAAAGTAGCTTTAACTGTACACTGTAACATTAGAACTTAAAATTGTAGGCATATAAAATGGAATAACGAAGGCACATAAATAATACAATTGTAATGAAAGCTTAAAAAGAGCAAAAATGCGTCGCAGTCATAAGTTTTTTTGTGCGCACCCAGGAGTCTGGGACATGGAGTGTATAAATTATGTTCAGATGGAAAAATAACAGCATATCCACACAGCTTAATTTGGGGGAACAGTGATTTTATATTTATTCCTTACATAATTATCTTTTATGAATATTTACTATTTTATGCTGAAGTCTAATGGGTGGCAAATATTTTACTGTACTGTACTGTATTCCAAATATCAGTGGGCTTTTCATTATAGTAAATACTGCCAAACCAAATGGATTAGAAATAACTAATAAAAGTAATGATGAATATTGGCAAACTGAGGACACGGCCCTCAGCCTGGGCTCCTCGTGCACCATTGTTTATTTGGCCCTGTATACAGTTCAGCTTATACATAGTCCATGCAGGTTCACAAACAATGTACCCATAGACATTGATTGTTCATATAATTTGGTTTGTGGTTTGACAGACTGAAGTGTCTTCTGACTCTGAAGAAGAGAAAGAAGAAGAAAATGATGAAAAGAGTGAAGAGATAAAAGAAGTGGTCAATGCTGATGAACCAGAAGTAAAGGAAAAAGTGAAGGATGAATCAATAGAGAAAGAAGAGGATCACTCAGATGATGAAAATCCACCAGATGAGGTGAAACAAGAAAAGAAGCCCTCCAAACTTAGGACCAGAGGGGGCGTTGAAGTGAGTGCTTCCTTTCTGTGTTATGTTAAGGACTAAAGGTATACCATATACAGTATCTTGGGTATTCCTTCCTCCCCCTATCCCAAAGTCATTTCCTTTTATAATGCAGAGAGGTTGGAATCATCAGCTATTACAGGTTCTGTCATTTTTGTAAGTTAGTTAATGTGTTCATGTTGATTTTTACAAGTTCATATTGGGATCCCCTCAAGATTAGGTAACCCATCACATTTGACCAGATGATTAAAACAAAACACCCTAACACTAATCTAATTTATCCTAACCCCTCCAGATAAGGTTAGGAAGTTAAAGCATTAGGTAAAATAAACTGGGGGTGTCTAATCTTCAGGTGATCCTCTTATGGCAGTTACCGGTAGTTAAATAAGTAAAACTGCTTCATCATAACATGATCTCCTGAAGAAGTTGCAAATGATTCCCTTGAAAGATTTTTCCTGTTTTTAGAAGACTATGGTATTGTGAATTTATTTTATTTTTTTTTTTTTTGGGGGGGGGGTATTATTGCTATTGAATAATTAATACTATTAATGTCATTATTGTTATATAAATTATTGTTTGTGTATTACATACATGGAAAACAAAAGTTTGTTTTAATCCTTGATCATCCATAATGTGGCATTTGTTGGATCTTGTATTAAAATTTTTTTTAAGTACCCCAATATATACATTAAGTGACAAATCATCTTTGTCTTATTAAGTGTCAATGTTTATTAAAAAAAATAGTTATACTTTCTATTGCAAGTTAACACTGATTTAGTCCTATCCCCTACAGATCAACAACTACTATATGTATAATTCAGGTGGTCGGCAGATGTGTGAGTCACAATACCAACAGAGAATACGTGAACCAGACTATTCTCTTCCAGGCCCTTATGGAGCAAATAATTTAATCAACTATAACTGTGGGGTGAGTTTTATTCATCTGTCACGTTAAAAAAAATTCCAGTACAGGCATCCAGTACAGGCATCCCTCGGGTTACGGAGGTATCTGTCCTTGAAAATTTGTCCGTAACTCGAAACCAATTTTCCCATTGACTTACATTATATATTTGGGGATGCATTCCCAAGGAAATTTTTCGTCAAAAATGACCCAATACAAGCACATTTATGAATGAAAATATATTTTTTAACACATAAATTTATTATTTTATGATATAATAAATATACAAAATACTTAAATTTAACTTCCCACAAACGATTTTGAGTGCTACGTTAGGTAAGGTGGTGCAATCGGAGTTACTGAGAGGGAGACAGAGGGTTAATATTGGCTCCTGCCTTGCCCTGTACAGTATTGTAGCAGCCACCAAGAAATTCACACGAAATAAATTGTACAATTTCTGTGATTTTTTTCCTAACAGTATTGAAACAAATTTTAACTTAAAAATTTACCCAATTTCCGTCAGGGCAAATTTTTTGTCCGTATCCCGAATTTATTGGTCATAATTTGCAAAATCCGTAAGAGTGAATTTCCGTAACCAGAGTTTCCGTAACCCGGGGTATGCCTGTACTGTATTTGTCGCTACTGTAGCCTCTATCATATTACTGTTACATCCAATGAGAAGGAATGAGTTTTTTTATTGGTCAATAGATATATTTCTTAGGAAACCTTGAAGATTGTTTTATGGCAGTTTCATATTTTTTCCTTGCAGAGTGTGAGTCCTCAGTATGCTCAGTCTCTTGACTCCCCACCCATGTACCCAATTCAGGGAGGAGTGACAGACTCAGATATGTATGGCGCAGTAAGTTATACTTAAAAATAAATTATTACTGTACTGTACATACTGCAATTTGTGTTTGTCAATGATTATCTTGTACTTTAATACACTAACTGTATTCAGGCAATTGTTTTACAGTAGAATTAGGATAAATTGATGTTCATTTGCTCATTAGTACACTAGCTCACCTTCAGTATTATGCATGTAAATACTGTGTATATGATAGCTCACAGGTCAGCAACTAGCCAGTTGCCTTAAGGTAATAAGGACAGATTCTGAATTAGTATACTGTACACTAATGTATAGGTGAATTTGACTTACTCTTCTCTGTTGCAGAAGCTAAAAGCAATAATCTTTTATGTAGTGTTCAAAGCCATAAGGATGTTTATAAAACATTACTTCGGTGTGTTCGGTGGATTAAAAAGTGTTATCATACCACAATGCAAACAACTTTTGTATTCTGTGGTTGACTTGGTAATGAGATGCCAAATACCAAAACAGAGATACTGTACTACTTTACTCCCTCTTTCATCTTAGAATTCTCCATCTAAACCTCCACACATAGTACAGTTCAGTTTTTCATGCTCATGTTATCATCAAACAATATTAAATAAATTCAACATTTCCTTCCAGAATGGATCTGACAACTACACATATGGCCCCTCTTCAAGCCCCACAAGCATGCAAGCTGGTACTTTGGTGAGCTTTATGTTCTGGTTTGATCACATTATTAAATTGACTTACGAGTACAGTTAGGAAGTCTAGGTTAAAAAAGGGTAAATAAATAAAGTTATATGTACTTATACAGTATACTATATCATTTTCTCTTCCTAAAACAATTAGTTCTCTCTATAAAATCTTTAAACTGCACTCAGTGATTCCCTATTTATCCAATACATTTTCAGTATAGGTATCCCTCACTTAATGAATAGGTTAGGTTCCTGAAAAAACATTTAAGTGAATTTTCGTATCTTGAATCACGGAATACCTGTATATGGGAAAAATAGGGTACAGTTCCTATTGACAAGAAAATCACAATATCATACTCCAAAAACATGAAATTGGTTCATGAACAACTAAAAACATCCTACCTAACTAATATAAATAAGTACACAACTGCAGTCTCTCCTCGACTTACGACGGGGTTCCGTACCGACGACCAGGTCGTAAGTCGAAAAGGCGAAAATGATACCTAGAAATTCTAAAATGGGTGTGTCTTTTTCTTCTCGGCACTACGAGAACTCTCACTTTTACGCTTGCCAACCATTTTAAAGGGAACTAAAAAAAAAAAAATTTGTTGGTACACAGCACGATCACTAACTTCGGGACTCGAAAATACGTAATGTGAAAAATATTTTATACAACCATGGCCGTCGTATGTCCGGGTTGTCGTAAGTCAAGGAGAGACTGTACTGTAATTTACTACCGACGACATTCAAAACATTAATAAAATTGTATAAATTTGGTACATTACCTTACAGGAGGGTAGTCAGGGGTCACCACAGGAGTGAGGAGGGGTGGGCTGAGTAAGGGTCTTAACCAGTAAGATGAGGAGGGTTGTTCACCTCATCATTGCTGTCTGCCAAGGAGAACATGGCCACACCAGAAGTGGAAGAAAATCAGATGGTACAGGGAGTGGGACTGGAAGCTGAAGATGCAGTTTATATACGGTGATGGTTTTAAAGAGGGAGGGCATGCTGGGTTGTCTTGCCTTGCTCCTCAGTTGATGTAGTATGGTGTAATACGGGTAGCCGGAGAATCAGCAGAGCGCTTTGAGGCTATGCTGTAAAGAATAATGAAAAAATGGCACAAATACAGACAGATAAAGAAAGCGCACTTCCAAAAACTAATGGCGGAAGGAAAGACCCGGGCCTGTGGGAGATGCAGCAGGAAGGGAGGAGGTATGTTATGATCAGTGAATGAGCTTATGTCTTTGCATCTCTCTAAGTTGGCAGCTCCAGCTGACTCCTTAGGGGATGTAGTTTGAATTTTTGTTGGGACCTAATTTCGTATAAGCAGGGGAAGCTATAAATTAAATGGGAAAGAGGTGTTAATTTGGGAAATTTCTATGAGCTAATTTTCGTATATCAAATGTTCATTAAGCAAGTGATAACCGTACTTGCAGGATTGCCCTGCTGAAGTGTCTATCTTATTGTGCTTCTAGATCTAAAAGAGTAAGGCCTGCAATAGAGTTTTTATTTTCATTATTATTATCTGTGTTGTTGTCACTGTTGCATCCAATGAGAAGTGAATGAGGTCATTTTATTGGTCAATAGATATATTTCTATGGAAACCTTGAAGATTGTTTTATAGCAGTATCATATTTTTTTCTTGCAGTGTGTGAGTCCTCAGTATGCTCAGTCTCCTGACTCCCCAAGCATGTACCCAATTCAGGGAGGAGTGACAGACTCAGATATGTATGGCGCAGTAAGTTATACAGTACGTAACAATTAATTGTTATTTTATGCAGTATTTTATGTGTCAATTCTAATCTTGCAATACACTAATTGTATTCAGTCAATTGTTTTGCAGTAGAATTGGGATAAATTGTTCATTTGCTCATTAGTACACTAGCTCACCTTCAGTATTACGCATGTAAATATATGATAACTCACAGGTCAGCAACTAGCCAGTGGCCTTAAGGTAATAAGGACAGATTCTGAAATAGTATACTGTACACTAATGTATAGGTGAATTTGACTTACTCTTCTCTGTTGCAGAAGCTAAAAGCAATAATCTTTTATGTTGTGTTCAAAGCCATAAGGATGTTTATAAAACATTAATTCGGTGTGTTCGGTGGATTAAAAAGTGTTATCATACCACAATGCAAACATCTTTTGTATTCTGTGGTTGACTTGGTAATGAGATGCCAAATACCAAAACAGAGATACTGTACTACTTTACTCCCTCTTTCATCTTAGAATTCTCCATCTAAACCTCCACACATAGTACAGTTCAGTGTTTCATGCTCATGTTATCATCAAACAATATTAAATAAATTCAACATTTCCTTCCAGAATGGATCTGACAACTACACATATGGCCCCTCTTTAAGCCCCACAAGCATGCAAGCTGGTACTTTGGTGAGCTTTATGTTCTGGTTTGATCACATTATTAAATTGACTTATGAGTACAGTTAGGAAGTCTAGGTTAAAAAAAGGTAAATAAAAAAAGTTATATGTACAGTATAGTCTGCATTTACGCGGCTTTTGTTTACGCGTTTGGTCATTTACGCAGTGCCTTGCCAGAATGAAAATGCTTTAATTACGCGGTAAATTTGGTCATTTATGCGGCGAGCGCCTGGAGAGGTCCAGACCGCCGCGCCATTTTTAGTATTTTGTGTTTCTCTCAATTACCAAACTAAATTATTCCATTGAAACAACACTTCGATTTAGTGCGAATTTGGTTTAAAGCAACCTCTCTTGGAACGTATCTCGTGTTATATCGACTTTCTACTGTATATGGGAAAAATAGGTTTGGTTCCTAATGACAAGGAAATCGCAATACCATACTCCGAAAACATGAAATTGGTTCATGAACAACTAAAAACACCAGACCTAACTAAATATAAATAAGTACACAACTCCTGTAATTTACTACCGACCACATTCAAAACATTAATAAAATTTTATAAATTTGGTACATTACCTTACAGGAGGGTAGTCAGGGGTCACCACAGGAGTGAGGAGGGGTGGGCTGAGTAAGGGTCTTAACCAGTAAGATGAGGAGGGCTGTTCACCTCATCATTGCTGTCTGCCAAGGAGAACATGGCCACATCAGAAGTGGAAGAAAATCAGATGGTACAGGGAGTGGGACTGGAAGCTGAAGATGCAGTTTATATACGGTGATGGTTTTAAAGAGGGAGGGCATGCTGGGTTGTCTTACCTTGCTCCTCAGTTGATGTAGTATGGTGTAATACGGGTAGCCGGAGAATCAGCAGAGCGCTTTGAGGCTATGCTGTAAAGAATAATGAAAAAATGGCACAAATACAGACAGATAAAGAAAGCGCACTTCCAAAAACTAATGGCGGAAGGAAAGACCCGGGCCTGTGGGAGATGCAGCAGGAAGGGAGGAGGTATGTTATGATCAGTGAATGAGCTTATGTCTTTGCATCTCTCTAAGTTGGCAGCTCCAGCTGACTCCTTAGGGGATGTAGTTTGAATTTTTGTTGGGACCTAATTTCGTATAAGCAGGGGAAGCTATAAATTAAATGAGAAAGAGGTGTTAATTTGAGAAATTCCGATAAGCGAATTTTCGTATATCGAATGTTCATTAAGCAAGTGATACCCGTACTTGCAGGATTGCCCTGCTGAAGTGTCTATCTTATAGTTCTTCTAGAGCCATAGGAGTAAGGCCTGGAATATAGTTTTTATTTTCATTATCATTACCTGTGTTGTTATGACTGCTGCATCCAATGAGAAAGGAACGAGGTCATTTTATTGGTCAATAGATATACGAGTACAGTAGGGCCGGGATATATCACGAGATAGGGTCCAAGGATGTTCGCAATATGTAATCACATGTAATCAATGGGGGAAGAAAAGGTTAGGTTGTCGAGGCCAATAAAAGTGACTTAACTTTACCTAAAATGGCACAGACTGAAGTTAGCACGAATATAAATTGCATTGCTGGAATCCTTGCAAGACAGCGAATAATTTTAATATAGACATCATATATCTTGCACAAGAGATAAAATTTTTAGTTTTTTAGAGTACATTTAAGTACAGAGTACACTACTGTACAGTTTTTCAACTCATATTTTTGGGGCGATTTAGGGGATTTTTGGGAGCGTTTCTGACTTTATACGATTTTTGGCTTTATGTGAGGCTTCAGGAACATAACCCCACGTAAGTTTTGAGTGTACTGTAAATAAATTTATCGCTATATATTGGAAAATATTGATAATTTTGGTAGTCGCTATAAATTAGAAATATTTCCTGCACGATTTCCCTTGCAAAATAAAAACATTTATCGCTATACAGTATACTATAGGAAAATGTCGATAATTTTGGTAGCCACGATATAAAAAAAATATTTTTATAAAGTCGCTATATATCCCGACCCTACTGTATTTCTATGGAAACCTTGAAGATTGTTTTATAGCAGTTTCATATTTTTTTCTTGCAGTGTGTGAGTCCTCAGTATGCTCAGTCTCTTGACTCCCTAAGCATGTACCCAATTCAAGGAGGAGTGACAGACTCAGATGTGTATGGCGCAGTAAATTATACAGTACGTAACAATTAATTATTATTTTATACAGTATTTTATGTGTCGGTTGCAATGCTGCAATACACCAACTGTATTCATTCAATTGTTTTGTAGTAGAATTGGGATAAATTGATGTTCATATGCTCATTAGTACACTAGCTCACCTTGAGTTTTAAGTATGCAAATATATGATAACTCACCGGTCAGGAACTAGCCAGTGGCCTTAAGGTAATAAGGACAGATTCTGAATTAGTATACTGTACACTAATGTATAGGTGAATTTGACTTACTCTTCTCTGTTGCAGAAGCTAAAAGCACAAATCTTTTATGTTGTGTTCAAAGCCATAAGGATGTTTATAAAACATTACTTCGGTGTGTTCGGTGGATTAAAAAGTGTTATCATACCACAATGCAAACATCTTTTGTATTCTGCGGTTGAATTGGTAATGAGATGCCAATACTAAAACAGAGATACTGTACTACTTTACTCCCTCTTTCATCTTAGAATTCTCCATCTGAACCTCCACACATAGTACAGTTCAGTTTTTCATTGTCATGTTAATCGTGAAACAATATTAAATTCAATATTCCCTTCCAGAGTGGATCTGACAACTACACAGATTGTTCATCAAGCCCCAGAAGGCAGCAACTTACTTTTTTGGTGAGCTTTATGTTCTAGTTTGATGACTTTATTAAACTGACCTATGAGCAGCTAGAAAGTCTAGGTTAAAAAAAAATATATATATATATTCTCCTAGTTACGAATGGGTTACATTCCTGGACCCTGTTCGTAAGTCAGAACTGTGTTAATTCCAGAGGTCAGGATAGGTTAAAGCACAACCCTGCCCATACAAAACGAACATTAATATCCCAGACATAATAATAATAATGTAAATTCTCTAAATAAAGTGATGAAGTGATGAAATTAAGGTAAGAAATGGGATTTTAGTTACAGAGAGTGATAAATATATTTGGATTCCGTTCGTAACTGCGGGCGTTCGTAAGTCGGCCATTTGTAACTCTGAGACTACCTGTTTATAAACAGTATATAGTATATGATTTTTTATTTTTAAATTCATTGTTAAAATTCTTTTTTACTTGAAAGAAAAATAACAAAATAGTTTAATTTGTGTGCAATATATGATTAATATATATTAAGCACTGGCTACAGTTTTTATTTTAGTCATGTCTGCTCTTTAGTGAACAGTAATTACACTTGTTACTGCACTTAACACACCCTGGGTTTTATGACATTCTGTGGGGGTGGTGGATGGAGCAGACATGGTAAATGGTGCTAAATTTCGCTGATTCCCAGTGAAAGTAGAATTATGTCAGAGGTGAGAGATGTAGCCATGGTTGTTCAGTATTTTACATGATGAGTAGTAAGAGAACCACAAGATTAGAGCAATAGTGATTAATGGGGATGCAGGATACAAATGGGCAATAAGTCAGTTGCTTTATGTACATTATACTATGATGGGTGGTTAAGGTGAATACAGGGTAAAGTGATGTAATTGCAAGTGTTAGTAAATGACTTTAGATGATTGTGTAGTAAGAGAAATTCAATTTTTGGTATCTCTCACCAATATGTCATGGGTTCTTGGCCTAGACACACATGGGAAGGGATATTTTCTAATGTGACCCTGCCAAACTAAGGAGGCTTCCTCCTGTACTAACACTGGACAGACCAACTGCCTGAATGGATAGTAAGCTAATAAGTGGTGAAATGGTAATGATAAAAAAAATACAATTATAATTATTGAGATGGAAGATGGGGAAAGGACTATTTGCTCTAATGATGACAATTGAATAAAGTGTTTCAGTACAGTATCTGTGAATTAAAGTGCTACTGAAAGGAAGATGATTCAATGTTAAATCACAGTTACCAAGGGAAAGAAACTATGGATAGAATCTCATGGACATGCTACGCTCCCCCAGTATGTGGGTGCTTTGTATTTCTTGTTAACCATTACATAGTGTCACTTGGTGTAACAACTGGTTACTGTGTCTGCAAGAGGTCAGTCCCCAGCTTAGGGTGTAATTTAAATGAGATCTTTTTATTTCTTATAGGATGATAATGGGGTCCACACAGAATCAACTGAACTTCAACAGGTTCTGGAGGTAAGTGGGGTACAGTACACTATAAATGACTAACATGTGCTGATGCTTAGTAGATGGAAAAAAGTGTTCATTGTACAGTATACACACAAACAAAATGAACTGTTCACAAAAGTACAGTATCATGTATATACAGCATAGCCAGTTATATACTGTGTATACTCATGTATAAGCCAATCTTATGTACAGTATCAAGGGTGGATCCAGGAATATCAGGAGGGGGGGGGGGTGTTCAAGAAGTTTGGGTGGGGGAACATGGCAAGCAAAGTGGGCCCATCCATCTGGGCCTAGAATTATTATTTTTTTAATCTGACCAATATCATGGGCATTTTGAGGTTATATTGAAGCCATGTGTAATTTATATTAGGAGATATTCCGTGGTCAATAGTAATTACTTTTTACTCTACAAAAGCGTCAGAGTACAATACTGCATTAAAAAAGTTTAATGGAATTTTCTGAAGAAAAGGGGAGGGGTCCAGGATCACCCCGCCCCCCCCCCGGATCCATCCCTGATTTTTTGGGGTAAAAAAAGCCTGCGTTTTTCATATACTTCTTGTACAATTCGACCCTAGCTTTTGCGATATACCAGTTAAAATCCTTGACATATTTTGTAGCATGATACTGTACCAGATTCATACCACCATGTCTTGGCTGTGATCACCACCACAACAGCTGACACTATGAACAGTGTTACCAACTCTGAAACTGAATTCCTGCAAGTTACCAACACCTATTTATAAATTTCAGTAGATTCACCCCTAAAGGTAGCTTTATCTATACTCTGTAACATCAAAGCTTAAAATTATAGACATATAATCTGTAAAAACAAAAGCATTTAAATAGCGATGATGAAAACATAAGGAAATAAAAATAGATTCAAGTTTAGTGTACACACTGCATTCCAATCTCAGAGATGCCAGCTACTTGCTCGACTATCGCCATAATAACTGTTGCTAATAGAGAGATAGAGGCTGCTGAGATGCTGTTAATTTATAAGCGCTAAAATTAAGATATTTTATTACTGGTACATCCTGGTACATAATATAAAATATTTTAAGAATAAGATATTAACTGTGAGGAATAAGATAAAGTAAACATACCAGTAACTATGAGGAATAAATAAAAATACTGTATTGCCATTTGGCCACTGGACAATGAAATATTTTAATTGTTTCGCTACATATGGGAGACAGCTCAGAGCACCTGAGATCCTGCATGCCGCCAACACCCCGTTTCCCCCTTAGCCTGCTAACTTGCACATGAAGAAATGTTTATTCCTTTTATTGTTTTTAACTTTATGATAATTATTTTTTTCTTCACATTCTGTATACAGTACTGATTGTGTATGTGTAACTGTGTAAGGAAAAATTAGGAAATTACATATATCTATCTATCCAAAATTATGAGTTGAAAAATAACCATAACATAGGTCACTACTTGGCCTAGTAGGGAGAAAGTGAGGGGGATGTGGCTACAGTGACAAGTCTAACTTAACAACAAAACTACTACAGTAGCAATATAAACAGACTCAAACAGAAGGAAAATTATCTGTAAATCTTCATTTGTACCAGGTCTTGTAGAGTTAAAGCAGCATATATAGTGAATGAAGTTCTGCTCTTTATGTAGCAATATAAAGAATCTAGGGGTTTGATAAGCTCGCCAAGTTCAAAGGAACTTTCTGGTATGGTTAGCTTACCATGAACATGTGCTCGGTAGCTATCATTCACCAAAAATGACCCAAGGAAATGCATAAACTTAAACCCTCTAAAATATTATGTGTATATAGTTTGACCCCTTACTTTTTGCATAAAAATTTTATCATAAAATCTTGAACTGTACTTGAGTACCTGTACAGCATATAATATGAAAAATATTGCAGCCAAAACCCCTGAGTGAGATCTTGCAGTACTGAGGTGACTAGAAGCAAATATTTTTTTATCATTAGAATAAATTCAGCATGGACAGTGGATGTAAAACACTGGTGATGATGATGTCTGTCATCATCATAAATGGTTTACTTGCACCTGTTTATAAGATTGCAAGATTTTTATTATGCTTATTTCACCCAGCTTTAAAATGTTTTCCCTCTTTATACTATCAAACAACTTATAAACAAACAGATATCAAACACAAACTGACAGATATCAACTACAAACTGCTCTGGCAAAAGGAATTGTTTTTCTATACTGATGAATATTGTGTGTGATTTTTGTAAGAAAATTTTGCTTACTTGCCATTCATCACTAAACTGAACCACAATTACCTTAGAAATTTCATTATTCAAATGCTTCATGGTTTCAGTGAGGAGTGACATGTTCAGAAAAAAAATTACAAATCTAGTAGTTCCATCAGCCTAGAGTGCCAAGGTTATATTGTAGTTTAAAAATGTTGTGATATAATTCAGTGAACTGTGAATGAAGTTGAAGTATCATAATAGTCATTTTCACTGTGGTCATATTTATTGTCTATCACAGATAAACTTTTAAAGAGGTCATGTCTGGGGTTCAAAGTTCGCATAGTCGTAGTAATATCTCCGTTAGCCCGAATCCCTCAAACCCGGAACTCCAATAGCCGGAATTGAAATTTTCTCGGAACATCATTCCCAAAGCCAGAATTTTCCGGGAAATTCCGGCTTTGGAAACGATTTTCCGAGGGGCACATTTTCCGGAAAATTTAAAACAAAATTTCCCGATACCCAGAAAATTCTGGGAATGGGGGAATTTTTTCTCGGATTTGAGATACAAAATCAGGCACATTTTCTGGAAATTCTGAGAAAATTTTTCCGTTACCCGGAAAATTACGGGGATGAGGGATATTTTTCCGGCTTTGAGAGAGTCGTCTCGATACCTGGAAATCTCCCATTCTCGGAAGTGCTCTGCACCAATTGTTCCGGCTAACGGGGATATCGCTTTTTAAACCTATGCTTATGTGTATTAAGAAAATGTTAATCGATTAACCCGCCCCAGCTCACAGCTTCCTGTTTTGCACAACCTTCTGTATTATATTCTGGTCTTTTGTTTTTGTCATTACCATTTAGCCATGCATTATGAATATAGTTTTAATTGAAAGTGATTTATTGATACATTATGTGGAATTGTTGCTCATTCTTTTAATGTAATTGATTAGATATTTTCATTATTACTCCTAAGCATTTCATGTAAATTCTTGCAGGTAATCGACAAAGTGGAACGTGAAAACTTGTCATACCGTGCTCCTGTAAATAAATTGCAGATAATAATTCAGAACTTGACTCATGAGGTAGGTTACTTGATCCTCTGTTGTATGTCTCATCATGATATTGATCTTTAACATCTTTAATTAGTTTTAGGACAGCGGGGGTCAAAACGTAAGCTCTTACATTACCAAATGTATGAAAAATCAGTTTGGGCATTTATGTTCACCTGACTAGTAAAAATTTTATACTGCTTATTAGACATTAACTGGCTTTATGTGTATGTCTGGGTTAAACCTATTTCAAAATATTTTCACTTGTGGGTTTTCATATACAGTAGTCATAATTGAGCTCATAGCTACCAGCCTAAATTAGGAAACTTAGATCCCAGTAAAAAAAATTTTGATTACCATTATTAACTTTAAGTGTTAAAGATAAATCTGTCTTTTTGCTGTTTCTGTTTAAGTGTAAACCTGTAAGAGACTCAGTAGCTCTCCAGGGCTGGGAAACCCTGCCTTATCACATGATGTATGACCACATGACTTTCTGGAACTTCAATAAGCCTCTCATCACTGTGCACATTGGGGAACCAGTGACCGTGTTGCATAACCATTTTCTAATTGTCATTCACCAAGTCACCAGCCCTGCTCCTCTTCCTTCTTTTCTTGGATAGTTACTTATCACTTAAACAGCAGCATTCTTCAGTGGAACTTAGCTATAGGGATGTCAGCCATTGTCGGTGGACACTTCATGCTCCTTGCATTCCATCTTTGCACATACAGTATAATAGAGTTGGAGCTGGGAAGAATACTTAGCCACCATTTAAGGGTTAATAAATGTACAGTGCATTAATAAAAAGATGTTTTCTTAGAAAGAGGAAATATAACATTAGCTACTTTATATTTAGGGAAGGTTACAAAAAGGAAAATAAGTTTTTACATTTGAAAATACTTCTACAGTAAATATTTTTGATAAGTGACTAAGGCATCCAGTAGTGCACCATGGGATTATAATCAACAACCTTCACCCTGCCTTCCTAATACCACCCAACCAGCTGAGTTTCTCGTTCTTTACTGTACAATACCTGTAATCCAATCCAGTCACCTGAGTGTGGGAATGTTATCAGTAATGCAACCTTCTCTGTGAGTTGACATCACTCTCATAATGGCTTTCAGTTACTGGTGTAGGTGTTTGCTAATGATTATAAATTTCTTGTGGAAAAATGTGTACCCATTGACTAAAATCTATATTTGATGTCTTGTTCGTAATGGTCACTGTACATACTGTATTCTTAACACACTCAATATTCCACATCATTAGACTGTATTACTCCTTCACTATCTCTATTATTCTACTCAATTATCTTTGTATTTGTAGTATGATTCAGGGGGACACAAAAATGTCAAAGAAGGTTGGGGGAGCATTAGAGAGTGTTTCAAGGTGAAATTAGAAAGCTACAGAAGAAGGCTGTACCTTTTGAATCCATAACTGTGCTTATAATACTGCAGCTATATGAGGAATTATACCTAGTACTTATTTCAATAGTTTTTAATACAGAAGACCTGTAAAATAAATAGATGTAAACCAATAGGTAATTATTGAACATGTACAGATTGTTACAGTTTCATAACATGGAGAATGAGTTGTGGTTAGGTTGGAAACTGTGGTATTTAAGCATACTTTTTTGTATTAAGTGATTTAAGTTTTTACTTAAAGGTCTGAATCCAGTGGTATTCTGTATAATTATTATATAAAGGACAGTTGAAAAAATTCCATCTTGTGTTTTGTCCATTTTAACAGCTAAGGTCCCACTTGGTTTATGCCAAGTTGTTAAGATGTATCTCTACTCCACTTCACTGAAATCTATTTTGAGTGATTTGCCATAGAATCTTAATCTAGTACAGTCGATCCTTGCCATTCATGATTTCGATGATTCGCGGTAAGCAGGTGGTGGCTAGCTAGTAAGCCTTTTCCTGCAGCACAACGAGTAACCCCATGCAGCATCTCGTGTTGTACTCTCAAAACTTTAGTGTTTCTGTGTGAAATGGCCCCTAAAAGACTGCCTAATGTCAGTGCTAGTGGAGTGAAATGTGAAAGGCAGAAGTCAGAGATGACCTTGGCAAAGAAAGTTTTATTATTAATTAAGTTAAGAGGGAATGAGTTCTGCCACGGCTGGTCAGTTGTTTGGTATAGGTATACAGTAGTGCACTAAGGTAGTATAAGTTGGTATTAGCAGTTTTGCCAATTTACTCCATTTCTTGGAGCCTATCCTTCACAAATGGCAAGTGTCTACTGTATGTTACAGCCTACACACACACACACACACACACACACACACACACACACACACACAGACAGAGCCACTGTATTGGGATCCTCACATAATCAGTGTAGGGTAGTTTTTAAATTTGCAGAAATAGCTGCCTAGGTAACAGGTTCATAAACTCCGTTTTCCATTTAAGAACTCTTAGGTGGTATTCAACCCTTGGATCCATCTTCTCTTAACTTGGACTAACAGCAGTTCAAAGTCATTGTCAGCAAACACAGAATTTAATGCTGTAATACATTACAGTACTGTGTTTATATCAAGTCTGCATTTTTCACACCTTTTCCAGTAAGCATATTCAGGCTAAAAATTTGATGCATCAGTTCATATGTTACAGCTCACATCATATTACAGTACAGTATTAGAAAAATAAAGATTAATATTTGAAAATGATAAACTGTACCTTATAAAAGATCACATTTTCATACAATAGTCAAGTTTACGTTGCATGTTGACGGTGTGTCTCTATAATAGTTGTTGTAGTAGCAGCTTATTATTGTTTTGCATGTACAGTACAGTGAACCCTCACTTTACGCGGTCAATTGAACCCACGGAGGTTTACGCGAGAAACGCGTAAAGTGAACAACATAACATATGGGATTAAATGAAATCAAGAGACCGGCTGACCCCCAAATTCCACTTTTTCCGACACAATACCTATGTTCTAGTAAAAATAACATCTTAATTTTATGATGGTACATGCACACAATTAATACTTAAGAGAAATAGAGAAACACAGTCGCCAAGTTAATGTCCATTCAAATAATGGACTCGACTCCCTCCCCCTCTTCTCACACTCCTGTCTCTTCCCTCTCTGAAAAATGTTTGGGGGAAACCACTAGATTTAAGGTATAGTAATAAATAATACCTCAAACTAAAGTTAGGATAATATAATTGACGTTGCTGGATTCCTTGTAAGACCAGGAATATTTTGAATATAAATGTCATATATTTTGCACAAAAGATAACATATTTACTCAGAGTAAACAAAATACTTGCATTAGATCTAAAATTTGTGTCTAATGCAAAATCTATGATGCTTATATTCAAAATGATCATCAAATTGTAAGAATTCCAGCAATGTAAATTATATTCTGGCCGGATAATTTGTATGAATTTTATGAGCTAAATAAAAAAATTATACTTCACCCGCGTATATGAGTAGAGTGTAAAGTGGGAATTCCGGTTCTGAGTACCGCGTAAATGTAGAACTAGAACGCGTAGAAACGCTCGCGTAAAGCGAGGGTTCACTGTATAGTACCCTGCACCAGACATTTTCCTTAAATGGATTTTTATTCTTTTTATTTTTGTTTAGAAGTGATCCCTTACTGTTGCTAAATTATGAATGGAATTGAAATGCATATTGAAATATCTAATGAACAAAATGATTTTGTGGGCGGGTAATCTTTGATTATCCTAGACAATTACAACCCTGCCTTGCCAGCTAAAAGGGTGCTTGGAAGTTTTACATATGTCCAGCTCCCACTCAAAAGTGGGTTGACAATAGAAATGGCATGCAGCTTTAAAATTTGTACCTATTTCCCTGGTGGCATCTGGGACATCATACCTTCAGGTAATCATGGCTAACCCACACAAACATGGAATATGGCCATTAAGGCAGTGATCATGATGAATGTTTATTAATTTATAAACAAATACAGTACCTCTTTTATTGGTGGTATGGGCATTTGACTATTCTGCATACATGTTCAAAGTTTGGAAAAAATTGAGGTGTTGATCCTGAACTTTCATTTTGCAGTCGGAGGTGAGGAAATGTTCTTTGTATTTGTTAGCACAACCATGCCCATGGTGGCCACCATATTATGTTTTGACTACGATAACATTACCACCAAATTGTTGCCATCTTTCCATAACATATCTTTATCCCTTCTTTGGCTCTGACTAAATAGCCAGGGTCCAATTTCCTCCCTGCTAGGCACCATCGTCTTGTTACGTCTGAACCATGCACAGTTTTGAAATACAGTATACAAACAGGGATATTACACAAGTGTACTTGCAAAGTCATTTATGGGTCTATATTTGTTGATCATCTGTGTGACTGTAAATGACATGAATGTTTTGCATACAAGTGTTATGTCATACACAATTGATGAATATTAAGGCTCTTGTTCAATATTTTAATATTATTTTAGCTCCATTTTAGTAAATATTCTTGCATATAGTTATGGTTCATGATGTGTTTCAAACTTATCTACAGTAAAATCCCCATAAATCGTACCCCTCAAATTCGAAATTAGTCATAATTCGTAATGTTTTGCTGTTATGAAATATAGGTAATTATTGATGACTGACCCGGTGCTGATTTTTCACAGAAAAATATTTTTAAAATGCCACAATTTCACTATGTTTTGTAGTGAACACTGTTCTGGCAAATGTGTTAAAAAGTGGTTATTTCTAAATTAAACCTAACCTAAGCTTTGTTAATAAGAAAAACAAGTGGTAGAAGTGTTGTTAGAAGACCTCACTAACCTAACCAAGGAAACCTATACACCCCTGTATAACCTTGCCTAACTTCCTAGCTGTGGGGCTCTTCCCCCCCTCCGGGCATATTAAACAGAAAGAACTTATTATGATATGGTGTAAATTTTACATCTTTTTGTTGATGCGAGAGCAGCTGCCCTGACCATGCAGCTCAAAGATGTATACAGTACTGGCATCAATCAGAGCACCATTATGATTGGCTGTTAACATACGGGCATGCGGCATTTCTAACGAGAAGACAAAGTACTGCGCACTCAGGCACCTAATTATCTACCAAATGAATAATTTTTCCAAGAAATGATTATCCTATCAGAATTTACTGATGAAAATATAATAAGAAAATAAACCGTGTATCAAAACATATAATGCGTCGGTGGGTTAATTATCAATATATTAGCTGAAATATATTACAAATTTCGAAATATTTGGTAGAATTTCAAATTATGAGACTTTTTAAATAATTATTTGATATATATATTATACAGGTACTGTATTTAAATTTTCAGATTGAGAGAGACATTTACAAATACTGTATATATGATGCATGTGTTGCCATGGGATGCGTCTCCCCACCCTGCCTCAATGTAAGCAAGTACTATGCGTGTCACGCATGTTGGTCAGTTCACGTTGGTCAATCGTGGACTACACATCTACGGTCTACCATGCCAGTTTTTTCCACTTGTTTTTCCATCCTTGCCCAATGTTTGAACCATTTTGTCCGATAACCGTAGATCAAGCACCTCAAAAGGTACTGTAATTAGAATCGTTTACATTTTGATGGGGAAGGTAATGGAAAATTACTTCTTTTTTTGTCCCCTCGGGAGGTGTCACTCATGTTTTGTAAAATCTCATACACCATAGATGCTAGAGTTCTATTATTTTTAATTATGGGGGTTTTACTGTAAAGGTGCCTCACATGACTTAGGGGTCACTCTCTAGGTATAGTGTTTCCTGCTACTGCATGATCTTATTATTTTCTTTTAGCTCTGTGAAGGTGAACCAAAATGGTCTGACAACAGTTGGAAGATGGAATTTGACCGTCAGCAGCTCCTCCAGGCTAGAAAGTATGGCCACATTTCAACTTTCATTCCTTCATATGTCTTTAATGTCCTTGTTTTTTATTTTTTCCATCCTTCCAATAATATGAAATGGAGCGTGGTGGTTGAGTGGATACAGTGCTTGTCTCTTGTCCTTGGGGTTACTCTTTTGATCCCAAGACACTCCTTAACTTAACCTAACTATACTGTACAAGATAGGGACTGAAAGTGGTCAAGTGCAGTGCCAGGCACACAAACACCTTGAGTATTGATGGCTTAATATAATGTGTACTGTTTTGTATTCACACTGTTCTTAATGGGTATTCATACCTGTTGGAGCCTCATTCTTTCTTCTGTTAACTTACCACAAAAGTAAACCATGGCCAGCTCTCTGTCTATCACTTCTCAATGTCCACATCTTCTATTTCCTCTATTTCATATTTTCTTCACCCCATTCACCCATATATTGCCCTTATGTACTTGATTTCTGTCACTTAAAAATTGCTTCTTCCTTTTGCATGCAGAATCCATGCTTCACACCATCTAGTAATGTTGGTTCAATTATTCCCCTATACAGCTCTATATATTTCTCAGTGTTCCTATTACTCTTTTATTCCTCTGCTGATTTGTTATTCAGTTATTCATTCTTTGGTCTATTTGCTGACATACAGTACAGTATTTACTTACAGAATTCTGAAACACATGTATTCCTCCACTCAGGCTGATATTTATTTCTATCTCTCTTCTTTGCTTGCTTATATAATTTTACTTTCATTCACACTCCCTATTAACTTGCACCATGTACACTACAGTACAATGAAACTCAGCGAAGCTATGAAGCTGTCCGCACAAAATTATTTAAGGGTGAGAATTTAGATTTCTATAAGTATTGGGGAATATGGGGTTGCATCACAAATCCACTCTGAACTCATTTTATATTCCCAAATACTCCTCCTGTAAATAAATATTATTTCTTTTTATATATATATTTTTAAATACAATAATAAAAAACACCATTACATATAAAACAATGATTATTAAGAGAAGGAAAAAAAAAGGGGGGTAACTGGCCATGCCAACTTGTGATATCTGCATGCAACCCAAAGAGTGATTGTGGGTAATCCTCAGGGGATTATGCAGTTTTCACCAACCCTGAAGACAAAACTTCAGAAGGCTGATGTGAAAGACTGCATTTTCCAGTGTGTGTTTAGATTATAATCATTTAAATCTATGCACATTCTAATTGTTGTTATTTCATGGCATTTATTTTTTTTTAGTAGCAGCTGTCATCACATACAGAATACATTAACTTTTTCTCATTCTGTAAAATTGCACTGCAGATATTTTTGTGTTTTTTTACTTTGAAATTAGACCTATTGGAACATGGCTCTGTGATTTCCCTGAAATTACAGTCAACCAATTCAATACAGCACTTGCCTCCCATACTAAGGGTATTCCCAGTCCATTCATATTTGATATCTGTCCTTACTTACTTTGTTTGGTGCCTTTCTTGTAGCAATGGCCAATGTATCTTGTATACCAGTTACAACTTTGAACATAACTTCTTCGTAGTAAAAAACTTTATCACTCGGTCACGAGACTCACAACCCACACCCATTGTCTTGTACAGTATTTATTCTTTCTTTAATTTTTCCTCTTTACCTTTTTTTAGTTTCCTTGTTAGTTTGGCTGTTTGAATTGAAAGGTGATATTTGCAATATGAGAAAATGAGAAGTGAAAAACAAGTAAAAAAAAAATGCATGCATAATACAATACTGAGGTCTTTTGAAATGACAGTAAGAAACAAAAAGCTTTGTGACTTGATTTATATTAGGTTTATCTTCTCTGTATAACACTTTTGAAGAGAAAGAAGCTCGGTCAGTTATTTAAAGAAGCCCCTGTTATCAACCGCGAAGCACATTGTTTTTGGGGGGGTATTTTTGAGTCGGTTACTACAGAAACATGCTATCACATCTTTTCCAAAATATACCAGATTTCAAAAACATAGAAATAGATGTTCATGTCCATTCAACTAATTGTCTTCTTACAGGATGGTGGCAAGCAAGACCAATGAAGGTGTTGTTAGAAAGGATGAGGATGGTGACACGTAAGTTTGTCTTATAAAATTTAGTTTGCAAATGATATTGTGAATAGAAATGCTTCCATTCTTAGTCAAAATGCACATCAATCCTGACAGTCATCCTTACAAGATGTGATATAACTGTATTTACTTAATAGGAGAAGCATTTTCTTAAATAAGTATGTTTTCAAGATAAGTACTGTATGTAAAAACAAAGATGGCAAAGAAATATATTATGAGTAAATTTTTCATGTAAATTATTTTCATTGTTGACAAATGTATGATTCCAGACCATCCATGATTATGGCATGTAGGCCTGTGGACCAAGATGGCTACACAGAGAACTTAATGGCATTAATAGAACGACAGGAAGATATTCTCCTCTGCTGTGATGAAGTTGTCAATAGGACAACTGGACAGTGCACCAAATGTGGCAATAGTAATCAGGACACATTCTATACTTCACTTTCCATTAAAAACGTGCAGGTATTTTGCATATTTTACCAAACTGTTTTATAGTGCATAATAAAGCCTTTTCTTGCTGTGCTGAGATTAAGTATAAAAGTTCTTCCCATGGGAATTACCTGAACAAATTTGAAATATAAATAAAGATTCCGATTGACAGTGTTTACAAATAACTTCTGCTTTATATAATTAAATTTTGACTCAACAGGGTGACTCAATTCTGAGTAGTGTAATTAAAATAAAGCATCCAGTGAGTGTGATTAACTACGTCTTTAAGAAAATTGAAAGTCGTCGCAGTGACTACATTAGAATTTTTGGCAGCCCTGACTACAAATATAAGAATATAAACCCAATCCTGGAAAGGTTAGTAAAGTACACAGTTATATTTATACATTGCTCTGACATAGTTAGCAATATTTCTGGTGTATGTTGTATATATTATACATAACATAAAAACTCTGACTGACCCCCTGATGGCCCCCACTTTCACCTCAATTTCCTCAATAATGCCATAACCACCCTTGAACATCTTAAAGAAAATTGAAAGTCATCCCAGTGACTACGTTCAATTTTTTTTTGCAGCCCTGACTTGTTGTTTTACCACAAATACAAGAATATGTACCCAATCCTGGAAAGGTTAGTACAGTACACAGTTGTATTTATACTTTGCTCTGACATAGCAATATTTCTGGTGTATGTTGTATATATTATACATGACAAAAGCTCTGATGGCCCCCGACTTTCACCTCAATAATGCCATAACCACCCTTGAACAATGCCACCCTGTGAAATGTCTTCGTTAAGTCTGGAAATATGACTACAATTTTGTCTCCTCTAGATTTTTCTCTTGTAGCTGCCCAGCCATAAATATTGCATGTTGTTTTGAGAAATACAATTATTTTCTCCCATTCTGTTATCTTAATGTAATATAATTTTTTTATTGTTCCAGGGTTTTTAACTAAATATCTACTTGGTGATGAAGGAGAAGAATCAGGTTGTTCAGGAGTGCTTTATAGGCAGTACAGGGTATGTTGTAGTAGTTTTTTACGTCTGTCACCAAATAATTGGTAATTGTGTTTCTGAAACTTTTTGGCTCTTCATATGAAGTTAAGTTTGTGGTGTTATTGTAATGAAAGTAAAGCACCATGAGTGATGTGCTGAATTTTGATGTTTTCTTTTGTTTGTAAGTGTTCAAAGTTTTACTCAAAAGGTGTTCTTTATGTGTGTATGAATTGATTTGAATGATATACTGATGTTTTGAACATTTATGATTGTAAGTGTTAAAGGTTTTTTAAAAATATATTCTTTATTTACTTAAAGTTATTTACTGAACTGATTTTTTTTAAATACTGTACTGTACTGTATACTGTATTGTATTTTTTTGTGATTGTAGCAGTTTACCCAAAAAAATGATTTAGGAGAGAAAGATATAAAATTTAGCTGTACAGTATACTGTACTGTATATCTTGATAACTTTTATTATGATATTGTTTAGTGTTAATGCCTGTTATTTTTTCTTCTTGTAACTCAAGGTCATTCCACATAAGCCTTTGTATTCTTTATTGTTTGAAAACTAGTTTTTCCAAGGTATGTGTAGATTGTGCATTAGAACTCTTGATATTATTAATTTGTATCATTACAGAGTAAAAACTAGACAAAGGTTGAAAATGAAGTCATAAAAGATGTACAGTATGAAAAAATCACGTAAAAGCCAGTGAAACAATTGTGATAAGAACATAGGATAAATGATAGAGTAGTAGAGAATTGGAAGTTGTCTCTGCAAGAGAAGGTATAGTGAGTATCAAGAGGCTGTGCTATGGGAAAGATCCTAAAGAGGTCATATGCAATGGAGGCATGAAATGATGTGGGAAATGAATGAAGACACAAGTCGCACTGTATAATTCCAACTTCATATAAGAAGAGAAGTATTATGGTGAAAATATATGTCCTTTCATTCAGGCCTCTTCTTCATACTGTATATGTTGTGTGACACTGGACTAGAAAAAATCGCCATTAAAAGAGTAATACAGGTACAGTACTTTACATGTAGTACAGAGACATTAATTATATTTATACCTGTTGTCTTCTCCAGTTTGCCTCTTATTTCTCGGTTTCTGTTTTGTGTCTTATACCATGCTTAAATGTACAGTTACATGTATTCATCATCATTCAGTGTTGCCATCTATCCATTCCATTACCATATTCACAATAAAGTTAAGGCAGTTGGCTTGTGGAGATATAAAAGTTAAAGATAAGGGAAATAGAAGAGAAAATGGGTCGGAAAAAGAAGGGAGAGAAAGGAATACTCTAGACTCTAGAGTAAGGTAAAGGCAGTGAATGGGATTCTGAGAGTGTGGAGATTAAGAATAGGATTAAGGATATTGAAATTGAGAAGAGGAAGACCTCAAAGTTCACAAGGCAGGGTTTGATGCAAACAATGTTGTGTCAGTAGAGTTGCTTTGATCTATAATATTTTCAGCCATATTAAGGCATCACATCATGATAATGATTTTTCGGTTCATAGACAACCAGTGAATATTTTCATAACAAACACAGGCTCCAAAAATGGTACTGAGCTTTCTGTAAACCTCCAGTGTGATCCTTTAAGTGGTACTCTGGAATTCCTACCACATAATACAGTACTGTATTTGATATCTGTCACATTAAAGACTCAAGTTTATTGTAAAAGAATGAACTTGTGCATCTTCAAATGTTCATGTTTTACTTAATTTAATAACCATTACAGTATTTGCTCAGTTACTGATATAGTTGGCTCAAAACAAAGTCATTAGTCTTCTTACATGACAATTGTGTACTGTTCAGATACCTACATGCATCACTTAAATGAAGGCAGTCAGAAAGTGTATTTTTTTTTAATTCTAAGTGAAGTTTTTGAAGAGAAGTATAAAGAGGGGAGAGTGTGACCCTGCCAATCATAACAGGTTTCCTGGTCCCTGATTCCCTTCTGTACAAACACTGGATAGACCAAATGCCTGAATGGCTGGCTAGTAAGCTGATAAGTGGTCAAAAAAAAAATATATATATATAATTTAGCTCATTAGTGTTACAATGTGCTAAATCCATGAATATTATGTAATTACCACCTGAATTATAAACTTTCCACCTCTACCAATGTCCTGTATGCATTTATTAATAGAAGGATATATTTATTCAGATTATTAAAAATAATTTATACAGTATAAATAGGCATAATGTATTCTGCTTAACATAATAGATGTGTTCCAAAAAATACTACATTAAGTGAACCATGTTTCCCATTAATTCCCATGTTATAGATTATACTATAGGTATACCCCTCTTAATGTAGTACTGTATCTGTGCACCAAAACAGTATTTACTATGTTAAGTGAAACTACATATTATGAATTAAAAAAAAGTTCCTGGCAAATATACTTAAACTCTGAAACTCAATTGTAAATAAACATACAGTATTAAATATACAGTACATATAGTCATGTACTGTAATCACATAAATGGAATGGTAACACTCATCAAGAGATAATTGAAGAGGCAGCATATTGGGGTTTGGTGGTAAAACTACCAAAACAAACACTACAAGCAAGGCTACTTGGCTACAGGATAGCTACTTAGCCTCATGTTTGCACAGTGCTGCAAATCTTAATTATTTTAAATGTTCAAGGTTTATAAAACTATGTAATAGTGTATCATGGATTATAGTAAATGAATATTTTCCTGAATAGTAATTTTATAAAAAATATCAAAATTAATTTAAGGTATGTAAACCCCATCATGCATTATGACGCAAATCACGTCTGCCAGCCATGCTTGTAAGTCGCATATGTCTCTTTATTTACTCTCCCACCTTCCTCACAGTTATTCATATAAATTCCAAAGTCACCATTGAAAAGCTCCTAAAATTCAGCTCCTATAACTATATTACTGTATACCTTGGTAGATTTGTCAGAAAATATGTGACATATGAGGCTGGGAATACAATTGTTTTTCTTTGGAGTGAAAAAATATACTGGAGTCTTATTTATTTATTTTTTCCAGCTTATGTTAAAGCCAACAAAATAACGAAGTCAGTGATATACAGTATACTGTAAATCTTGCGGGAAAAAATGTGGGATAAATTGGCTGCAGAACAAAGATGACCAGACCTCACGTCAGTGGGTCCATGTAACTTTTCTCGTGGTCGTGGAAACATAAAACTTAATGCATGTGCGATAGGGTTAAATGAGGGATAAGTACTTATACTGTACATACAGTACAGCACTAGTATTTCTAAGTCACGTGCAAGCTTAACATGGTAAATGTAATTCTTGTTAACATTGTTGTGCAGGAATGTTTTAATCATCCTGTATCATTAGTACATGATATATACTACATTTATTTATAGATTATGTGCCTAGTACCTGTATTAGAAAGTGTGAGAAGTAAGTTTAAATCTAAAGTTTTATGTTTTTTTTTAAGACAGAAGTTCTCTGCATTTTGAAAATTAAATAACATACAGGTAGAGATTGATGACATGGGATGTTGATGGTACGATGGTAGAGCATCTGCTGCTCACCACTGAAAGCTGGGATTTATTCCCACTCAGATCAGATTTGAGAGGGGGTATTTCCAAAGTGACCTTACCAAACATGAAAAATTTTCTCCATTGACCCTGCATCAGCAGTAGACCCATGGGGGATGACCCCCCCACCCCCCCCTCTGATCTTTGAGTAATCATATATGAAAGAGTTAACTAATAAAATGTATGTACATGCATTTGTGTGTGATATAGATAATTTAATTTTGAAAATTGTTTTAAATGTTTTATATGGTCTATAATGTTTTCTGTTGTATTGGATATATTTTTTGTCATTCTTAAAATGGTTAAGGAGTGCATCAATATTTTGGTTATTTTGGTAAACCCACAATGTACAAAGGAAATTTACACCCTGTTTTATTATGATTTGGTGTAACAAACTTTTGAATGAATATTTTCTCCCTATGGTATACTATATATATTGCTTCACCTTTATAAGTGAGCTTTTTCATTTTAATAACCTATTTACTGTGTATAAATGCCATAAAATGCTATAAGGGTTTTACATGTGGAATGCTTTTACTTATACTGTAATGTACTTCCAAGTATAATTCAAACAAAATTTTCCAGCAATTACACTAAAAAGATTTTGTGATAGTATTACGACAGTTATTTACACTGAGTTACTAGCCCAGTGGCAGAGCAATCATCTCACAAGCAAAGGGTCTTGGAGTTTGATTCTCAGCCCTTAAACATCCAGTAGTGAAGTGAGTACAAAGTCAGATGCATCATCTGCCGATGGTAGAATAACTTCATTGGAGTAGCATCCTGCTGAGGGGATGCTACATGACAACAGAAAAGGCTTGTGTGCATGAAAAAGAGAGAGAGGCAAATATAAACACCTTTGTTGATATATGTGAGGCTAACATAATTGTTTAAGGAAATCTGTATTATGTTTGCATTTTACTGTACAGGGGCACATCCTGGGGGTCCTGGCCCCTCTTTTCATCAGAAAATTTCAATACTTTTTCTTTAATGCAGTATTGCACTCCTGTCTCAAAATGACCAAAATGTGGGTCAGATATCAAACAGCCCCCCCACACACAGCTGGGTGGCCTCGCTGCTTGCCATGTACTATCGTGGACAAAAGTTCGCTCCTTCCCAAACTGAAGCAGTATTGACCCGCACAGCACACCCACACAAGTTAACAATCAGGGTAAGTCAGTTTGGAGACTCATTCCCGTGTCTCGGTTTCACTACAGGGAGCGAACTTTTGTCCACGATAGTACCCCCACCCACACCTTCTTAGACCCCCTATTTGATATTCCTGGGTCTGCCTCTGGTGCATTTACTGTAAGTTTATTACATGAAGAGTTTTCCCTAAACCTAAGGTGAAGTTTTTGCTTATTGATTAGGGTACATAATACTGTACTGTGCTGTGCAGTACAGTACTCTACTCATAAATACTGTAGGTACTACTGGCATGTAGTAAAAAAGTAGTGTATGAAAATAAGAGTTACAAATAAGCACAAAGGAAATAGGTTGAGTACAATGAATATATATTCATAAAAAAAAATAGTTTACAGTGCTTTAAAGCCTGTGGCACAAGGCCCACACGATGATGCATGTCAAATTTGGACAAAAATAAAGTACTGTATCAACAAAATCATGAGCAGTTAAGTTTCATATCCCTTAGTCTTATTTCCAAAGTTGATTTAGACGAACCAACTGAAAAGTGTAGCATCAAGAGATGATTCATGACCATCTTCCTCTTGTAGGGCATAGCACCTTCTTTACGAGTGAGAGAGAATTTTTGAAGTTGTTCCATGGACTATCTAAATACGTATTCTTTACATGTCATTCAAGAATTCTTCTTTATTTTTGTTACTGAAGTGTCTTTATCAAGTGTACATTAATGGTAATGTTTTAAACTTATATTATTAGTGACAGAGCAACAAATAAAGTCACCAGACTTTTATAATCTTAAGAGCATTCAATAGCCAAACGGTAGACATTGACAAGTACCGTACTGAGTGAGTTACCCAGAGTTACTAAGCGGAGGGGCAGGAGATAGTGTACGACCATCCTCTAGGCCAGTGGTTCCCAAACTGGGGGCCATGGCCCCCCAGCAAAATTTAGGGGACCATAAGCTGAGGCTATGTACACATAAAAATCCCAAGCCCCACCACACTAGAACAGCCAGTCAGCAGCTGAGCCAGCCAGAGATATGGATTGGGAGAGGGGGGCCATGGATAAGGATCATATATGAAAAGTGGGTAATGATCAGAAAAAGTTTGGGAACCACTAAGCCATCCACATCCCCCTACTAAATTTCAGCTCTTTAAAACTGCGGAAATGCATGACTCGTTCGTGTGTGTGTGGTGGGGGGGGGGGGCACTTCGTGGAGAGCGGCGAGATATTGCATGACTAGCCCCTAGGCCACCCACACCTCCCTACCAAATTGCAACTTTGTGTTTCCGTCTAAAATAGTTCCGCTACTAAAGCTCATAAACTTTCTCCCTCACAGCCAAGGCATTCGCCCAGCTTGAGGTAATCATTAGTATTATCGTATTCACTCATCTTATGCCTGTGTAATATCCTTACAACAATGGAACATTGTTCATTAATCATGGAACAAGTCCACCTCTTCTCGATCTTTAATTCTCAATCACCTCTCTTGTTTGCACCTACTGTATACCTCAAATTTCTCTCAATGCTATAACTGTCCCAGGTCTCAGGTCCTTGCCATCACTTCAGGGTAATATACCCCATTTTAGGGTAATCACACCTCCTTTAGGGTGAAATTTAAGATATGCAATTTTTTTGCAAAATCTACTGTAATTAAAGATTTCTTGGGGTATATTACTCATATTTTAGGGTAAATTTGATGTTGGACTGACTGGTCGATTCTCAATTTCTTCTGACAAGTCCGCTTCTACGGTCCGACTAATTACCCAAATGTACCCAAATATAGCCAGAATGAAGTCAAATAATGGTCCTACATGAATAAATCGGACTGCTAATCACTTCTCGACTAGTATTTGGTGTCAAAAAGTCACAAAAAATTGGAAAACTTACTTTAATCTGAGTTGTGTTGTTAGGTTAGGTTAGATTAGATTAGATTAGATTAGATTAGGTTAGGTTAGGTTAGGTTAGGTTAGGTACATGCACATGATCTATTAACTCAGATTAAATTAAGTTTACCAATTTTTTGTGACTTTGTGACACCAAATACTAGTCGAGAAATGATTGGAAGTCCGATTTATTCATGTAGGACCATTATTTGACTTCATTCTGGCTATATTTGGCTACATTTGGGTAATTAGTCGGACCCCGCTTCTATGCTGGTTTTCCGGCATCTTCGTGGTATAGATGAACACTATAACCTTTGTGTTCTCTATTTTTAAATTCTTTCTATTCTTTCTCCTCCCCCCCCCCCCAGGCCCCGTTGTGGGTCGTTTGACCTGTGCCCTGGTGGGCTAATTCCCGTAAAAAAAAATTTTTTTCAATGTCATATTAGCCACTTCAGCTTACTAGCCGATTGAGCGGTCTAACCTATTAATACAGAAATGTACTGTATACTGTACTATTTCTTTTATCACTACTATTCTTTCTTCTCACTTTAAAGGAAATATCCTTAGACTAGTATTTATGATACTTTTAAATTAAAATATATATAATATAAATTATATATTTTTTTATATACGTAATAGTTTTCTTGTTCACTATCTTTTTAAAGGCAATATTCCATTATATCTTGGTTAGCATATTTTTCACGTATTTAGGCAAGTAGTATTAATTATTTGCGTATGTAAAACATCAATATCGATAATGTCACTGTCCTCAAAAATCAGCTAGAAAGTATTTGAGTTATCATTACTTTTCTTTGTTGATTTGAATATTGTGGAGATATCTGGCAGGAGTTGTTGAGGATGCCAAGTACCTTTATATAAAATTATTAATGGATTATTGGCAAAACCGCAAAGAACATAGTGACAAAATTTACACCATTTAAGATAATTAATAATATTTTAAGGTAATCTGGTCATTTTAGGGCGTTTCAGAAATAAATTTAGGGTAAAAAATATTCCCTCATAGAAATTCTTTACTCAATGTATCAGTGACTCGCCGTCCTGTGTGTTGAGAGGAGGTGTACGTTGGTGTTCTTTAGCAGTCGTGAATGGCGCATTAAGATTATATATATATATATACAGTATATATATTTTTTATGTGGTAAATGTCGGTGTTGGAGCTTAGACTTCAGATATATACCATCAGCTTGTTGGAACATTCTGACATCTCTCATCAGGTCACGGCGTTTTATTTAAACGGTAAGGCTACGTTAAATAACACCCTAAAAATAAGGTAAATGTGTAAATAACATGTCGCCTTTTTATGTCTTTGTAAGTGTCAAACTAGTGTGTAGTAACTTTCACTAAGTGGATTAGTTTTCATTTCCGCCAAAAAATAAACATTTGATAATGCCGTTTCAAGCTGGCCAGTATCCACAATGACCTGCCGTGTAACACACCTTAAGACCTTGCGGAAGTAAATTGTTGTATGATAGCATGAAGTGTGGGCAAGGATGTTGCTTCGGCGAGGTGACAACCAAAAGTGGCATACAAAACGTTCAACCAAGAACAAGCCTTATCGGGCTGAATTTAATCGTAACAGTAATTCATGTGGATAATATAGTCATGTATAAAAGATAAGGTTACGTATCAGAAAAATTTCCCTGCGTTTGAGGAATCACTGTTCGACACAGTGCTGACCCACATTATATTCTCAGAAGAGGGTATAAGAAATAAATTGTCAAAGCTAAATTTTTTTTAGGAGTCCCCAGCCCTGAGATGGTTGTATACCAGAGAGCTTAGAGAGTTGTGTAACGAGCTTACTGAACCCCTGGATGAGCGAAAGGTCCCCAGTTACTGGAAAAGGACTCAAGTGAGTCCTACATTCAAGCCGGGCGATCTTTACTCTACGAATAATTATAGAACGGTGAGCCTGGCCAGCTTAGTGTATAAAGTACAACCTAGGCTTGTAAAGGACTGCCAAGTGCCAACACGACTTTATGCCGGGACGCTCCGGTTTGACGCGTACTCACGGCACTGGATGTTAGGACTCGAATTCTGGAACAGGGTAGTAATATGGAGAACAGATTTTGTCAAAAGCTTTCGACAGTGTAACCCCCATGGAAGGCTGAGAATTAAACTAGAAGGGTACGAGATCCTAGGAAGTGTCCTCGCGTGGACTGGAGACTTTCTTCATAACCGCAAGCAGTGTGTCTGATTAAAAGCGAGAAATCGTCAGGTGTACCCGTGACAAGCGGGGTATCACAGGGAAGTGTGTACTGGTCTCGTTGTTTGTTTCATAAATGACAGACCGCAAGATATACACACCCCCATACAAATGTTTGTGGACGATGCCAAGTTATTCGGGGAAATTAAGAACCAAACAGGCTGTGAATAGCTACAGAAAGATCTCTAGTCAGCTTGGTCCCCGGAACAGATGTTCCATTTCTGTTGATGGAGTTTTTATGGAAGAGACTCAAATTGTTATGACGCCAGTTGTACTATATCCAAGTCAGTCAATTATATGATCGTAAGGTGAATTTGGATCACCATAAGATTAACCACAGCTGAATTTGACCTTAGGGTTATACACCCTTAAGCTAACCTAACCTAATCCCCCAGGCAGTATCAGGGTGTTTAATCGTTAGGTGAAAGAAGTTGGAGGGCTAATCTTTAAGTGCTCTTAGGTTTTGTTATGCCATTAGTTTATCCCTTGTTGATTTGAACAAACGTATCAGTGATCAATACAGTTGATCCAAATTTTCTATAAAATAAATGGTGGACACATATGAAGATTATTTGCCTTTAATGAAAGTGTGAAAATGAGGAAATCTAAAAAAAAATAAAATAAATTCTTCACTTGGCATGTATGTCTTACAGCTTCGTAATTTAGATTTGATATTTAGTTTCATTTATGCACAAGATATGTGCGTCATTTGAAACCTTACACGAAGAAGGCAATTTCCTATTGTGATGAGTCACTAAAGTACGTTTCTCACCAAAAGTGTAGGGAAACCTAGTTGCGAAAGCTAGAGGGTGCCTCTCACAGCGTGGTAATGAATCTTCGTTTCTGTGTGAAGAAAGTGATATATACAGTATTTATGGCGAGATACAGTGTGAAAACTCCAGTCGTCTTGATGAGAAAACTAACAGCGGGAGCAGGTCTTCTTCAAATGACTGGCACGTCAGTAGGCTACTGTCAGTGAACGTCGTCAGCTGAGCATGATGACCACAACACCAGTTACACTCAGTTTCCCACGCCTGCGTTGAGCTATGTGACTGAGTGTTATTGCCACTTTCTTCTTGACAAGTGTGTGTTTGTTTACGCTGTAGTTATTGTAAAGTTCGTACTGGAGACAATACAATGCACACATCTCTCCTTGTTATCTATTTACATATATTTGTAATACCAAGACCTGCTCCTCTTACCTCACATCTTAATTTTGCGTTTCCAGTCAGTAATAATGGTCTCATCTGTTCAATGTCATGCACGAATACATTCGAAAGGGGAGTCTGTTTATGGGGTATTATTGTCCGCAAGAGCCAGCTGTTGAGTCGCCCGTTGGTCTAGTCACTACTGACTCACTAGCAGACTAACTTCTCGTGACATGAACCTGGTTTCGTAGAAGGTTAGTAACAATATCATGCCGACTGTAATAACATTCTTGTAGGAAAAATAGGTCGAAGGAACAATATTCTGATAACATGAAGATTAGGCACCCGTGGTTATTTCACCAGGAAGGGTTAAATTAGTGTTCGGGTGTTTAATCGGGTAAAATAAGCTGGGGTGCCTAATATTCACGTGACTAATATTCTGGTTAAATAATTAACACGGTAGTAAAGATTAATTTTTTAAATAACACTATCCCCGAGGTAACAAATTGCTCAGTAGTATCAACTGCCTTCATCGTAACAATGCTTCAGCAGTTACCTTAGTGTAATTGTAATAGCAAGCACTTTCATCTCTCATGGTTGTAGATTATTTTTCTCCAGTCCTGGGTTTAATTTTGTATTCCATCTTCTGTAGTGAAGATGGGAGACAATGACTCGGCAACACTAGAGTAGATAGTGTTATGGCTGTATGATGGGGTTCCCTGGAATTTGCGAAATGGGTTATACAGTAAATCTCTCCCCTTTTTCGTCCGCTCCGACTAGTGGCAATATTCTCACTTGCGTGAACGAAAACCACAGCCCAGGAGAAACAACGTCTTTATTCGCCTAAGATGGTGCGCATATCTTCTCAGGGGCGGATCCAGGAATATCAAAAGGGGGGGGTCCAAAAAGTTTTGGATGGGGGAAAATTGCGAGTCCATCCAGTTGGGGGGTGCTGTAAGCCGCCCTTATTTTTTTTTAATCTGACCAATATCATGGGCATTTTGAGGCCATTTTGAAGCCACGTGCACTTGATATTAGGAGATATTCTGATGTAAATAGTAATTACGGTTAACTATACCATACAAAAAATGTCTGAGTACAATACTATACATTAAAGAAAAAGCATTGGTGTTTTATGAAGAAAATGGGAGATCCGGGCTCCCAGGATCCCCCCTAGATCCTCCCCTGAGAGAAGTCATCGCCCAATCTAACATAATGTATGATTCAAATGGAAGATTGTAATTCTTGTTAATACACTTGGTCGCACAGATCCAGCCATTTTGTCTAGCTGGGTGCCTGGGACTCGGGAGAAACTAGTCACTGTTTACCCTCGGCCACTCGTTAACATAATTGTTGATCGGTGGTTGACGTACTGGTTTTCCCGTCTGGAAGAGAAATTTGGTGATGTTGCATATAATGATGACGCTCTGTGTATGGTTATGACGTCGAACAATGGCGATATGTAGGGTGGCGGTGAGTGGTTAGTTTTCCTAGTTCATTATATCCTCTTTTAATGTATGGCAAACTGAAATTAGAAAAGAACAACAATATCATAGTTTAATAGAGTAGGCTAAAGTAAGGATCATTCATTCGCGCTCGCTCTTTACCAATTTTCTGTTGTGATTTCTTTCATCATATGCCGACCAGTGTCAGATGTGACAGTGCAGACACGTTTGCAGCAGACACAAAAAACTGCAAGAGCATGACTGGACTGCTTTCGTGCAGAATCCCCAAAGCTCGTCACAGCGACACTACGTGACTCATGGTACTGCAGCGAAGCCACTACAGTGCACACAAGCTTGTCGATTTCTTTGGTGGGGATTTTAAAATATGGTTGATGCCGTCGTGAAGAATTAATGGTACACACACCACTTAGGAGAGAAAACATCACATAATTAGGGAAATCGCTTTTTTTACGAAAGTTTTGAAAGTAGCACAAGATATTTCTTTTTCTTTCTTTTTTTCCTTTTTTTTTGCTCGAAACTGAACGAACCGCTGCATTAGCTGTAGACAGTCGATGTTTCATAAATGGCATGCCTGACGTTGTACACTTCTTCTTACAAATGTTTGCCGATGACGCCAAGTTATTTCGGGAAATCAAGAACCAAGCAGACTGTGAAGAACTGCGGAAGGATCTCTGTGAGCTCCAAGAATAGTCAAAGAAGTGGCTGCTGAGATTCAATGTTGAAGTGTAAGAGGATGCACCTGGGGCGTACCAATGGTAAGGAGGTGTATCATATGTCCCAACGGGATGAAGAAACTGCACTAGTTGAGACTGTATGTGAGAAGAACCTAGGTGTGCATGTTGACAATAAGCTGAAGTTCTCGGGCCATTGCGAGAAGAAGGTAAATTAGGCAAATGAATTATTGGGTCTTATAAGAAGGTCGTTCAGATATCTAGAGCTAGACGGTCCGTCCCTCGTAACGATCTTCAAGAGTGAAGTGCTTCCCCATCTGGAGTATTGTCACCCCGTCTGGTCCCCGAGATATGCTAGGGACTGTCAGTTGGTTGAAAATGTTCAAAGTAGGGCCACCAGACTGGTGCCTGCACTTCGACACCTCTACCCTGAGAGATTGGAGCGCCTGAACTTGCCTAGCGCATACTACAGACGGGCATGGGGCGACCTAATTGAGGTATATAAGCATCTCAAGGGGCACTACTCAGTTGAGTGTCCTTACTTAGAGCTGGCGGACGCTCGCCCTACAAGGGATCACAGCTCAAGATTGAAGAAGCCGCAAACTTTTTCGGAGTGAGAGTTGTGAACTCTTGGAACAATCTGCCAGAAAGTGTTGCGACGGCATCGAGTGTGAGTTCTTTCAAGACCAGATTTGAACAACACTGGAGCAGGTTCAGGTACATTCAGGAGCCGGTGCATGCCCAGTAC